CTGCTTCTATTATCCGACATAATGTGTTCTTTGGCCTTCCTCTTTTCCGCTTCCCTTCAGGATTCCAAGTTAGGGCTTGCCTCGTGATGCAGTTTGGTGATTTTCGTAATGTATGTCCGATCCATTTCCATCGTCTTTTCCTAATTTCTTCTTCAGCTGGAAGTTGGTTTGTTCTCTCCCACAGAAGGCTATTGCTGATGGTATCCGGCCAATGGATGTTGAGTATCTTGCGTAGACAGTTATTTATAAATACTTGTACTTTCTTGATTGTGGTTGTTGTAGTTCTCCAAGTTTCAGCTCCATACAGTAGAACTGCCTTGACGTTCGTATTGAAGATTCTTACTTTGATATTGGTTGAAAGTTGTTTTGAGTTCCATATGTTCTTCAATTGTAGGAAAGCGGCCCTTGCTTTGCCGATCCTCGCCTTTACGTCTGCATCTGATCCTCCTTGTTCATCGATGATGCTTCCCAGGTATGTGAAGGACTCTACATCTTCCAGAGTTTCGCCATCAAGTGTGATTGGATTGCTGTTCTCCGCTTTGAATTTGAGGACCTTAGTTTTCTCTTTGTGTATGCTGAGGCCTACTGATGCAGAGACTGCTGCTACACTGGCTGTCTTTGTCTGCATCTGTTCGTGTGTACGTGATAGGAGGGCTAGGTCATCTGCGAAGTCCAAATCGTCTAATTGGTTCTGAGCTGTCCATTGTATTCCGTGTTTTCCTTCAGATGTTGAGGTCTTCATAATCCAGTCGACCACCAGAAGAAAGAGGAAGGGAGAGAGTAAACAGCCTTGTCTGACTCCGGTCCTCAATTGTGATGCATCTGTCAGCTGTCCTCCATGCACTACTTTGCACTGTAGTCCGTCGTATGAGTTCCGGATAATATTGACAATCTTCTCAGGAACTCCGTAGTGACGAAGAAGTTTCCATAATGTCTTCCTATCTACACTGTCGAATGCCTTTTCATAATCAATGAAGTTGATGTATAGTGATGAGTTCCACTCAACTGATTGTTCGACGATGGTCCGTAGTGTTGCAATTTGATCTGTGCACGACCGATCCTTACGGAATCCAGCCTGTTGATCTCGAAGTTGGGCGTCTACTGCATCCTTCATCCGGTTCAGCAACAATCTGCTGAAGACTTTCCCTGGTATTGACAGTAGTGTAATGCCTCTGTAGTTTTCACATTTGCTCAGATCTCCTTTCTTTGGAATCTTGACGAGGTGTCCTTCTTTCCAGTCCATCGGCACTTGTTCCTCCTCCCAAATCTTTTTGAATAGAAGATAAAGCATGCTTGTGGTTGCTTCGACGTCTGATTTCAGTGCTTCAGCTGGTATGTTGTCGGGTCCCGCTGCTTTCCCGGTCTTGATTTGTCTGACGGCCATTCTAATTTCTTCCGTAGTTGGTGGATTGACATCTATAGGAAGATCTATGTGTGCTGCTTCGATGTTCGGTGGATTCATTGGAGCCGGCCTATTCAGGAGTTCCTCGAAGTATTCTACACATCTGTTCCGCTCTTGTTGAATTTCGGTGATTGGCTTGCCTTCTTTGTCTTTGACCGGCCTCTCTGGTTTACTGTATTTCCCTGATAGTTTCTTCGTTGTATCGTAAAGCTGTTTCATATTTCCTTCTCTAGCAGCTTTTTCTGCCGTCGTTGCTAGTTCTTCCACGTACTTCTTCTTGTCGGTTCTAATGCTCCTCTTCACTTGTTTGTTTGCTTCTATGTATTCAGCTTGTGCTTGGACTTTCTCTGCTCGTGTTCGGCTGTTGTTAATTGCTGCCTTCTTGTTCTTCCTTTCTTTGATCTTGTCCAATGTTTCTGTAGAGATCCATTCCTTATGATGGTATTTCTTTAGACCCAGAACCTCTTGACACGTTGAAATTAATGCTTCTTTGATGCCTTTCCAGTTGTCCTCCATAGTAGTCTAATCTTCCTTCATTAGATCCTGTAAGGCGTGAAACCTGTTGTTGAGAGCTATCTTGAATTCATTGAGTCTGTCAGTATCTCGAAGCAAGGCTGTATTGAACCTTTGTATTGCTGTTTGTCCACTTGTCCAGTTCTTTTTTAGCTTCAGTTTTAAATTGGCTACAACTAGGTGGTGATCTGAAGCTACGTCAGAACCTCTCCTGGTTCTCACATCTTCCATTGTCCTTCGGAATTTTTTGTTGATGCAAATATGATCTATTTGGTTCTCTGTAGTGTGGTCCGGTGAGATCCATGTAGCCTTGTGTATACGCTTGTGTGGAAATATTGTGCCTCCTATGACCAATTTTTTGAATGCACATAGATTTGTAAATCTTTCTCCATTTTCGTTTCTTTCTCCCAGTCCATGTCGTCCCATAATATCTTCATATCCAGTGTTGTCTATTCCAACTTTGGCATTTAGATCTCCCATCAGAATAGTTAGGTCCTTTCTTGGGCATTTCTCAATGATTGACTGCAGCCGCTCGTAAAACTGATCTTTAATGTCGTCGTTGCTATCATTGGTGGGTGCATAACATTGGATAATATTCATTGTGATCCCCTCCTTCTTTGTTTTGAATGATGCTTTGATGATTCTGGATCCATGAGATTCCCATCCTACAAGTGCATTTCGTGCTACTTTGGACAGCATTAGAGCGACTCCCTGAGTGTGTGGAGCATTGTCCTCTTCGTGACCGGAGTATAGCAGCATCTCTCCCGTAGCTAGCCTTTTCTGTCCAGTTTGGGTCCAGTGGGTTTCGCTGATTCCCAGTACTGCTAAGTTGTATCTCCTCATTTCCATTGCTATTTGACTGGTTTTCCCGGTCTCCCACATTGTTCGAACGTTCCATGTACCTATAAAAATTTTTGCTCTGGTTGTTAGAAGGGGCATCGGCCTCGTGGCTTCCGAAGGAACTCGGCTTTCACCATGAAGCGTCATAATTCTTCTAAATGAAGACCTTCTAACTCCCAGGGCAGAGTTAAAATGGTTTGAATTATTTTTTCTGGTAAGCGTTTTTTTAGCGAGTTAGTTTTCTACGGGATGGGGACGCTAACCCCATGCCCAACCCTCCTCCTTTACCCGGGCTTGGGACCGGCAGCAACCCTATAAGAGCTACAGGCGGAGTTAATAGTAGCTACCATTAAAGTAATTTATGGCAGATAGCCTGATGCATCAGATAGATATGCTATATAAATATCAATGACTTGGATAGAGATAAAAGCATATTTTTAAAAGATTACTCTTGCAATTTAACTGCTTATAAAGCAAAACATATTGCACACGGTATTAAATTTAAATTGTTTAGTGAGTCGGTTCCTTGTAAACACTGATTGAAGCAACCACTTTGTTATGATTGCTTCAATATAGAGTGCACAGATGTAACACCTACAACATTGGGTAGTTGCAAAACTCTGGAGATAATGTTGGGCGCAATATACAGTGGCAGTATTTTTCACCATGAAATAACTCTAGGTTCTTTCATCGGTCAAATGAAGAATGTAGCAATGAAAGTATTATGTTGCGGAGAGTAACTATGTTAAACAAGGATAGTGTTTATGTAGAATTTCATAAGCTAATACAACGGAAGCTAAACACGTCGTGAGTAACCGAGTGAGCTCAGATCCAAGGAAGAACTACAAATATAGACTATAATACTTTTTGTAATCGGTGGTTCTACTATAGAATGTAGTTTGTCACACTGAATAGTGTTTATGGAGCGTTAGTAAATAGTGTTGCAAATAAAATACGAGAGTCTGGTGGAATAAATTTCTAGTGGTTTGTCCAAGTTAGAGGGTGCAGAGCAATCATACAACTTGTTTAAAATTGATGTGATCTTTGATAAATACTAATCCAAGTCATTTTAACTAATTTCTTTTTGTGTATAGCTATACCAGTTGGAAAATTCTGTACGCTACAATTACTATTTGATTGACTGCTTTTTATCTATGAAGAACTAATTTAAAAACGGCCTTCCATGAAATTCTTAACCTATCGATTTCATAATTAGGTTTATTGATATATGTACCTTCAAACTATATAAATCCAAATAACTTGTCTAAATCCGTTTAACATAGAAGTTGCTGAAGTATTTGGAAATGCCTTTTCTCACTAAAAGTCACCGGATTATGGAACACAGAGTTCACTTCATAGTTTTGTGTGTTATGAGGGTATCCAGAAATAAGATGCATATTTAGCTCGTCTAAAATAGTACAAATAGTACATTTTCAACGAATTCGCCCATGGTAGTCGTCAGTCAAATAACTTGTTGGTATCACAGATGGATGCAAAACTGAGAAAGATTTGCCACTGCAGCGCAATACAGATTGTTATCAACTGATATAGTAGAGAAATATAAAGAATAAAACCAATGTTCGTAATAACGTTGTATCCTCTTTCAGTTGGAAAAACGCTGGATTTATAATAGAGTAAAGTTCCCTGGCTACTGAACAGATTGATATGTAGTAACGAAATATCTGAGACAACATATCCAGTTGACTTCCTTTTACTTTATCAATCTGTGTGAGGAAGCATTCAGCCTGGAAGAAGGTCTTTAATTTTATTCTTATGTTTTATTTCCTGAAATACTAGTATGCAAATTTTACTGACTATATTCAAGTTGCATCAGATGACTCAAGTATGTGTTGAAAATCTAATTTATCCTTCACTAAAATAAGGGTCATAGTTCGATGGTCACCAGCTATGGTATAATTATCAAACAGATTAACAAACTTCTTGAAACTAAACTTCGAGATATTACTGAAGCTATAATTTACAAAAATCCTGTTCTTACACTAGAAAATAGTTAGATAACAACCAACAGTCTGCTGAATTCCTACTTAAGTCGCTCTTCATTAGGTCAGAATATAATGCAAATGTGATTAATATGTACTTTATTTAAAATGGTTAATTGTAGGATAAGTAATATAATAGAAAATTAACTAAATGTTCTATTACTGCACACAACATAAAATGGACACATTGAAAAGGCACAAATATTTGAACAAAGTTTGTATTCCAACTGAAAGTGATTGATCGGTTAAAAAGGCTTGGTGTTTGGACAGGTGTTAGTCCAGTCTGCCAATAGAAGTTGACTTGCATAAATGGCGTTGATGCATACTATAAGAGATGTATATAAAAACAAACAAGATCAAACGGTGATCATTCAGCTGATAAACTCACTTCTCAAACTTCAAATCAAGTATCATTTTTGATAGACATATTTTGAATGTTAATAACAGAACTATAACTAAGCTACGGTGTGCTCGCAAATGCTTGTTGTATCCACGGTATAGCCAAACACGTATGCCATAGAAATCTGGCTATCTGCTGTAATAATTCCTATAATAATCTATCTTATTTAAACAATACTAGATTGTAGAACGCAGTCAAACCAGTATACAATGAGTAAAATCTTACAACTATGCAAACGGTGGGATCAACCAATAGAAATAAACCAATTCCGATTAAAATTTGGTTGTTTATCTGTGTGCACCTCAATAAAATCATGTGAATGTAGTGTTGACATCTTCATTTGAGCATTAAATTACAAAAATTAAGCTATGCATTATTAGGAATTAATAAAGTTACTATTTAACGACAACCGTGTGAAAGACGAATTATGTAGTCATGGAAAAGCCGACTATATGAGAAGTAAAAATCACACATATTCTTAATGCTATCTAGTGCATATCACAAGAGCTATGTGTTCGGTTGGAATTGTCATGACTCTGAACCTTGAAGAAATATTGAAAACTCTTAGGTTTAGATGCACACTTTCATGTGGGATGACAGAAAACACGTTTGAACATCTGGTTACTACTATACATTACTTACCATTCCATTGATTAGCCACTCGCATCTTGCAAAATGACTCAGACAGTGTATTGTCAATTGATCCAGTTGATGAAATCCATGGTATGACACTTGCTGTAATGATTTCAGTCGACGTATTCAAAGTTCTTTGATACATGAATGAGTTGATTGAAATCCATGTTTTCCCCAAATCCTTACTCATCATTACACCTCCACCATTTGCTCCCAAACCGAACAATATGCCAAGTGGATTTGTGTACGCTATAATCTGTTCAACAGATGGTCCGACATCTGAGAATCGAAAAGAAATCCGTCGAAACATATCTGACATTGTTTTGTCAAAATAAGCTTAAACAAAATTTTCGATGAGCCAAAGTTCTTTGCAACTATGTATTTTATGAATCTGTACAATGGATGTTTTAAAATATTAAACGTTTGTAGTTATGACTCATTAAGATACTTTATTTGTGCTACATGAACAAAAAATTCTCTTATGACCGTATATATCAGTTCAAGTAGTCATGTATAGTTAAAGGTAAAATATGAAGAGAATGAATTATAAATCCTCCTTCCAAGTACAAATTCTGCCATAATTAGCTTGTGGTGTCGGTCTTTAATGTAAAACATTTGTTTTCCTTCATTATGATAATGTTTGGTTTTATACATTGTCTTGTAAACTGAGTCGGATGTTAGTTCGATGCATTCATGAATAATCAATTTTGATAATTGTTATTCTATTGATTTACAATCTGGTGTCAAATAACTAAGGTTGGTTAGTACATCATGAATTTGATAAAAATAGGGCAATAAGTAGAATCGAACAGAGGTGGTAGTGGACACTCTCCCGTTGCAAAGTAGTAAGCTATGATTATCAAGAGGTTGATTATTCTGAAGAAATCATCATACTTGTCGATTAATCTAAATCTTAGTTGTGTGGTGTGGACTGCTGAAGTCGACAGATGTAAGTAGTGTTTGTCATCAATCGAAATTGAAGTGCCTGGTGGTAGAAAGTTGAGATCGAAGAACAGAGGACAGGGATAGAGGATGGATGGAGTGGAAACGAAGGAACAATCAAGTATGAGACGATTGATTGACATTTTGCAAATGATTATTTTATGGTTCTCAGATTTTACTAGGATGTTCTATAATTTTATATTGTAATGAATTTGGTTCTTGTTTACTACAGTTGAATGAAATATGTTTGTATTGGGAGAATATTCAGTATTTATTTAAACATACGTTTAATTGTTATTGGGATTTCTGTAGTTTTATAAAATTGAGAAAGGAATTGTTTGAAACTAACATAAACCATAACTTTAAAAACTTCCAATTGACTTTGAGATTCGGGTGACTAAAAGCTATCAACAGTGTGTTGCTGAAACGGATGAAAGACTCAGTAGACACCGAACTTTGAGATCAACAGACTGGATTCCGTAAGGATCGGTCGTGCACAAACCAAATCTCTACACAACGGATCATTGTTGAACGATTAATTGAATGGAACTCGTCACCATACATCACGTTCCTTGATTATGAGAAGTCATGTGATAGTGTGGATAAGAAAACTTTGTTGAAACGTATTTAACACTATGGTGTACCTGAGAAGATCTTCAATATCATACGGAATTCATTCGACGAAATATACTGCAAAGTGGTGCACGAATGACAGCTGACAGATGCATCCCAAGTGAGAACTGGTCTCAGACAAGGCTGCTTACTCTCTCCGTTTCTATTTTTCTGGTGGTTGACTGAATTATGATCACCTCGACATCTGAGGGGAAGCACGGAATACAATGAACAGCTTGCATGTAAGTAGACGATTTGTGCTTCACACATGACCTAAAACTTCTATCAAATACACATCAACAAATGCAGATCAAAACAGCAAATGTTGCTGCAGCCTGTGCATTAGTAGGCTTTAAAATACACAAGAGAAAAACTAAGATCCTCAAGTACAACACAGAGAACACCAACACAATCACACTTGATGAAAGAAAGGCCTGGAGGTAGTGGACACTTTCACGTACTTGTGGTGCATCTTCGATGAACAAAGAGTATCAGATGCAGATGTTAAGGTGAGGATTAGCAAGCAAGGTTAACATTCCTTGAATTGAAGAACATATGCAACCCAAAACAACTCTCAACCAATATCAAAGACATAATCTTCTATACAAATGTCAATACAGTTCGTTCTATTGTACGGAGCTGAAACGTGGAGGACTACTACAACCATCATCAAAAGAGTGAAAGTATTTATAAACAGTTGTCTACGAAAGATACTCAATTTCTGTTGGCTGGATACCATCAGCAACAACTTACTGTGGGAGAGAACAAACCAATTTTCAATTGATTAGGAAATTATGAAAAGACGATGGAAGTCGATAGTACAGTCGTTGAGGAAATCATCAGACTGCATCACGAGGCAAGTGCCAACTGGGAATCGTGAAAGCAAGCGGAAAAGAGTAAGGCGGAATAACACACTACGTCGCGAATTCGAAGCAGACATGAAGAAAAATGGATAGGAATTAGATAGTGTTGCGAATGGTTGTCCAGGACAGAGTTGGATGGAGAATGCTGGTGGGTGGCCTATGCTCCTACACTAAGTGTAAAAGACGTAAGTATGTAGTTTTAAACTTCAAATATCCATTGTTGAATAATAAAACACAACAGATTGTCTATGATTACTTACCAAACCAAATTCTTTCAGGCAATTTACCAATCTTGAAACATCGTCTCACCAAATCTAATGAACCCTTCATACTAAACGCACGTGCACAATAAAACAAAAGATCACCAACATTTAGAAATGTATTCGCTTGACGGTCGGGCAACTGTACCAAAGGGTTCCGCATTGCAACGTAATGAGGTAAGTTGGGAGGATCTGAATGCAAAAGGTCAATACAAGGCAGTGTTGTTAAATAACACATCACAGAGTCACTGAGAATTATTTTAACTATCCCAAAAATCAATGAAATTATAGAGAATTCTTTCGCAGTAATGTGATCTGACTGTAGATAAGTAACCAATGACAAACATTCCTTGTGGTTATGGTTGACAAAATTCGAGGTCATTTTAATAGGGGAGTGCAAGAGAACTGCATATAGTTACAGTGTAAACATATTTAGTTGATACTTCTCAACAAGGAGATCAGTGTTTTTCTTTTTATCTTTTGTTTGCGATTGTACATTACTAGAAGTTTTGTATGATCAAATGAAATATCATTATGGAAAGCCTCCAAATAATGGAAGGACTAACTCATCTTTTCTGTGAAAGCAAATAACAAGCACCTCACATTTTGAGAATGATTATGATTTCAGTAGGATGAAAAAAATTCAGTAAATTATGATGACTTGTAAAGTTGTATTTGTATGTGTGAATACTTGATGGCAGTGTGATAACTCGGATGCAATGCAAAGATTGAAATCTTTTTCACAACAGCGGAAATTTTAACAGCATTTTCCATTTAAGGTAATGTATCCGACGTACAGGGTAAACTTATCTCCCATAATACAGTCATTCCTTGTTAGGTGGTGTTGATTTATAATCATAACATGAATTTGGAAAAATACACACCGATAAAACTCACATGTGTAGTCAAGTTGAATACGCAGATGAGATTTGAACTTGTAAAACCTTTGTTTTGCGCAGCTATCCACTACGGGACTACCACGTTCATAGGGTTTGCACACAATTTCGACTAGAATTGGATATTTCACAATGGTTGTACTACGAGATGGATTAAATTTCAGACTAAAGATGACTTCATACTTTGCACCGAAATATAAACGTCCTGCCTGAAACGAGAAAAATAACATCCTTAAGTGTTGTTTCAGAGCAAGAGTTGATATATGTTTGAAATTCATGTTTCGTTTTGTGATATGAGACGATTTCAAATGATGACTAACGTAGGCAAACCAAACTAATGTAATTTACCTCCCCTATGCTTGGTGAACGGAATTGTACGAAATTTGGAAGTTTCATTGGTACAGTAAATGACAGTGAATGCTGGTATTAGATCGATCTCGTGCTCTCATCACTAGCTCCCTGCACTCTTGGCTGATTGTTTCATGGATAATCTGGAAAATACAGTACTTCGACCGATAATTGAGAGATTTCATTTATCTAAGAGATGTATGGGTGATAGTTTATGGTATTAGTGACTGATAATGGGTTTCATTTTGCTGCAGACACAGTCACTACCTGGTTCAATGGTATAGGGTGTAGACATTTGTTCACTGCTTCCAGGCACGCTTGTTCTAATCTGCAGGCAAAACATTTCGTCAGGACATTGATAACTGCAATTGATTCCATTACTGTTTCCACATTTGATGGACTGGAGAGAGGAGTAGACACAGTTCTACTGCAATATGGAAATGCTAAGCATTCTGTAACGAAAGAGATTCTAACAAAGCTGATAAAAGGAAGAATCCTTCATTCGGGTATAAGGCGTTTAGAGTCTCCATGTGTTACATGTTATCGTGGAAATGATCTTCGACCAGTTATGAGAATTGTGATGAAGAATGTTGCAAAATCCATGGTTGAAATCCTAGATGACAATGATTTAAGTACACACAACTGATATGTTGATCAAATACAATTCCAGGAACCAAGTGAATCTGTTCCAATTCCTGTTTTTAATTCTAATACTAATGATCACATCCTAGATCATGCAGAATCTACATCCAATACACAATCGGACAAACACATGATGAACTTAAGGAAAAGTGCGATCGATTACAGAAATTTAGATTCCCATTAGTTGTACAAACTAATGATTGCTTTGTAATTGATTGCCCGCTGATTATCAATTCCAAATATAATGCGTTCCACTTGAGTTAAATTGCTCTATTTCGGGAGTTCTTAGTTTTGCACATAAATTCGAATACTTCAGATTACCACATACTTTCAAAATTTGTTAAGAAAAAATGGATCACAATGAAATTTCGGATTGGTTCAATAGTTGTCGTCACTCAATTTAATTCACGTTGGAAACAGAGGCGAATGAGGAATTTCATTTTCTAGATGTCCGGTTGAAAAGAAGTTCATATGGTTCTTTACAGAGATCTATATTTAAAAACCGACCTGGAATGGTCGGTATACGGATTTCCATAGTTGGATCTTATTGAGTAGAAAAATAAAATTGATTCACTCTTTATCCTCAAGGCCTAGGGGAATGTTCTGATGATGAAGTGGTTGACGAACTACTTCAACTTTGGCAGACATTCATCAGAAATGGTTATCCACCTAGATTAGTAGATAGGAACATAATACCAAGACATCCTAAATAACAGCACCGACAGTTCAAAAGAAAACTCTTTTTAAAAATATCGAGTTTAAAAGAGATCAGCCCTCTGAAATCTTTAATATACATATTTCAAAATCCCTGGATAAAACCTATTCAACTAAGCTCCGTCTCGTCTTCTCAATCCGGCCTACCATTCACAGATGTGATGGGGATAAACTTTCGCTTTTGTCCATGTTGATGTGCATCTATAAATCTACTTGTTCCTGTGGAGCAGGTTACATTGGCTGCATAAAGCGATCACTTTCTAAACGCATCTCGGAACAATACCTGACATGGTTTTCAAAGGGAGGATGCAAAACAGTTACCATTCCGATACAGGAACACTTAATAATCAAAGGAACTGAATCAAAGGAAGGCCGAGTCAAAAACTAATTCACTGCTGAGGCGTTGACAATCCACAAATCCGAGCTTGAACTCTGTGTGCAAAAACAACGTGTGCACCCACTCATCCTCTATTGGCTCTAGTTCCCTGCCGTAGTATGTTTTGGTCTTGCTTCCCTTTTTTAAATTTTGTTTTGCAGTTTTGAACCGTAATTAATTATACGCAGTGATGATGGAGGCTGACAGTGGGAGACAAGACGCCTGTTTCACCCTATTTGGGACCCGTCAGCTGGATGTATGTGCATCCCAGTTATTATTATACTCCAACAATTTTTTCATTATTCATTGTTCATTTCATTATTCGGTTATTACTTTCACTTTTGTGTTTATCATTTCCCTTCATATCTGTAAAGCGAACAATTGTCTTTCATAATTCTGACCTGTAAATTATTCTCGTCCCTCCATTCTTCTCTAACCCTCTGATTATTACGCACTCTCGTTTGATATTTGGAGTTTCGAATCACTCCATGATGAGAAAACAATTTGGGTCAAAGAATAAAACTCCACCAGAATGATCTACCTGAGCTACAAATTGTCTCAACAATCTCAAATCTTTGTTCATCCTACAGAAATATAATTACGACACAACTATAAATGTGAAAAAGAAAATTCCTTTCGCTGAATCCTCTTTATGTTTATACAATGACAATGAATTGTTTCAAGAAATCACATATTTATTAGTCGGTAGGCCAGTAGTACTTCAACTCCAATATTACACATTATTAAATTATTGTGTGGTTCATATTTGGTTCTCAATCGTTTGTCTCATATTGAGTATCTGAGATGCTTGATGCAATACTGTGATCCATCCACCTGGCGTGGTCTATTATAAATATGTCACGTTCAACTGGTCAGTTGTTGTATAACTTGATATCAAATATAGGACCGAAGAAAATCACTCGTTTCTGTTAGATCATTATGTACAATTTTCTCATAGATCACTTAAATCTAGAAAGCCAAAATGTGTATTTCTCAATATTACCAGTTATTCTTTTCTTCAAATAATATGATTGTGTTAACGGTTTTAGACTAGTTGATGATGATTTCATTTGCAATCAGAAAATTAATTCAATCCCTTTAAATGCTTCAACTAAATTTTGAGTGAGTTAAATTGAATAACATTATTTTCAAAATATGTCTTGAAACACAGAAACTTACTATGAACTGAACTGATTTAGTTACTGGGTTTAAAGGAGTTTTCAATGTTACATTATCTATGTTCCCTGTTTGATTAACTACACTGATTGATTTTATTTCTGGACTGAGATAGAAAATTATCGATTGTCTTTCACATTCCAATCCGGTACCATTCATCATTTGAACGGTTGTCTGAAGATACACCACATCTCTGAGTATTGGATTAAACAAAATGTATATTATGTAGAGAGTTATTTCATATCAATCGGTAAAACAGTTCAAATTCTGATGATTCAATCCAAATGGTAGTTGGATTCGATATTTGGTTTTACAAGCTTTTCAATCTAGTTTGATAGGACTAACTGATTACAATCAGCAGAGAAATAGCAAGAATATTTATAACTTCGCATCTACTTAGATTTCAGTATTTAAATATTTTGAGTACAGCGTAGACGTGTATAGCTCGAAAAGGGTGAAATTATTAGAATTTTGCACAATAATACGATTTTTTATTGCTAACTTAATCATATAATGTCGAGTATTGTCAGAGATCTTGTAAAACGTATAATGAATTATTTTCCTTAAATTCGAAGAGATTTGAAATTTATAACTCAGATGAGCAATCTGTACTGCATCCCAACAGCCACATCTGTTTAAGACACCAATTGTATGTTTAAACAGTGTTTCAACTGATGGATGCTTAAACGAGTTGTGTGTCTGGTTTGAAGGTGTTATTAGAAAAGTATCCAAGGAAATTTAATACCGAGAACATTAACATTGAAGGTTACACATTATTAATGAGGTTCGAAACCAAATTAAGACATGAATAAAACTAATTCATTCGGTCACTGGAATTTAGGCATGATATTCGCATTGCTTGGTGGATAACAGATAGATCTTCAAACTCTTTGTTCAAGACCAAAGTTTGTACTCTTCATGTGAGTAGTCATCCGCGTAATCGTTTATATAGAACATTATTATGGGCATTTGGACACTATCTGATCAGTAGAATGACTGTTTTATATAAAATTGATATTCAAGTGAAAAATGAATTCGCGTTAGAAGTGAACCAATTATTCCATGAAATAAGTATATAATAAAGGTCAGAACGATTTAAACATACCTATCAGGATAATCACTGAATGTGAACGATGACAGTTGAGATAGGACAACCTGAATTGATGGTTTTTCTGACCCTGTTCTTACACAACTCACAGATATTTTGCTAATATTAGTGACAGCATTGAATCGACCAGTGATTTGCAACGGCCAAACAGTTCCGTTTTCTACAATTTTACTATCACTCAACTGGATATCCACTGAAAGACTGAGAGTGTTTCGCATTAAGGGTACACTGACCGTACCTAAAAATGGTCGATAATTTTATAAGATAGTGCGTTGAAGAAGACGCTGAACATTTTACTCACTCTGAATTAACAGCTAGTGTTTTAGATATCAGGACTAAATTGGTTAGGAGCTAACCAAGAAAAATATAATTCAAAACGATACTGTCAAGTAATCAATCAAGTAGTAAGTTACAATACATTGAATAGTGGTGACAAACAACAAATCAATTTATTTTATTCCACTTCACATAATGGCAATGAATTTGCTTGCGTTTTCATGAGATATCTTGGTTACTGTTTGTTATTAACCTTTATTGTGGAACATTTTCATTGTTTACACACAGAAAGAATTTATATCGCTGTCTTAGTTTCTGTAACGTAAGAGTGAGATGTCTTTTTTTATATAAAGTTTCCTCAAGATTTGGGCCATATCCATGAATGTTTAACAACATTCTTCTGATTGGAGAGAAGTTGAAGGACAGTATTCAGTTTACTGCTTATCTGGTGTTTATTAGTTAGAACATATATAAAGCCAGGTATTTTTGACTGTGAGGTAGGCTATTGAAAATTACAGGATGAAATGAAGATAAAAATTTCAAGGAAAACAGTAAGCTAGTGTTAGTGTTTTTCTGTCAAGTTTTATTCCAAATACTTCAACTTATTTCACTGTTTTAATCATGTGTTTCAGTTATAGTTTTAGAGATATTTTCTTGCCTAACTTTGATCTTGTACGCTAGTGTGGTGTATTCTACTTATGTCTGTTGACACAAGTAGTGTGTAACACCAATCAGAAGTGGAATGACTGACAGCCGAAGGTTGAGAAGATCGAGTTAAAGAGAATGGGAATAGAGAGGGAGTGATTGTAATAGCAATGAAACAACGATGGAGTTTGTTCACTATTCTAGTAATATTCTATTCTACTTAAATTTTAGACTTTCTTTGTAAAGATAATTCAGTCTTCAAGTGGGTAAAGAAAATATCATACACCTACTGTCATATCTCATCTAGAGTAATATTGTGGTAAAATATTTTAACTGACAGTTACCCAAGAAATAGGGGCATATGAACTGCCAAACCGTAGTTTTTCATTAAACTCACCAATGTTTGTGATATTTTCGAAGTATATTAACAACTGATCATTTTGATCGGTTGGATAAGTGGACAAATAGTTAGATGAGTAAGCAGTTGTTGTGTAAAATAAGTTAGAGCCCAAACTTATTTTAAAATCTTCAATAGTTATTATAGATTCATTAGTGTTGTTGCTTCCAGTTCCACTGATTTGTATTGTAGATTTCAGATAGGTGGAGTTCAGTGGGAATATATATTTCACATTGATAGTTGTTATTTGACCTGGCTGCAGCGTTACACTAGATGGACTTACTTCAATCATAATCTGAAATGAAGTATTCTAAGCTTTAATCTAACAAAACTGGTTGACTATTATTTAAGGTACAGATGTTACTTGAAGTAAAAAAAGACAATTTCAAAATGACAAGTCTTTGTCTGATGTTCTTTATAGAAGTTTTAATGAAACACCGTGTTTAACTACACCTCTGTTGTAATATAGTAGTGCAACTACGAAACTGGTATATTGAGATAAATAGTGATCTCAAGAATGTATGGAGCCTAAATAAATATAAATCATGTACGTATTCAGAGGTGGATATCTATACCCGGATAGAGACAAGCTTGGAATGAACGTTTTTAGTGCATAATCCACTGATCACAGATTTCCAACCGTTGCATCTCTTATCAGATACAAACTTGAAGTACTATGTGATTTTTCTGGTTTGTTCAATATCTCAACCTAGGTTTATGCATAGACATTTAATTTCAAATAATATCAATGTATTTAAGACGAATAAGTGGAAATTACAATCCGAGTCTATTTTCTGACTGTTAAAATTCATCGTTAGAATTCATGGTCTTAACCTTCAACCAATTAATGTGGTTTAGAAGCATGTTTAATCATTCTCAGTGACAGTTTATAGAGAAATGTTATAGTAATTCATCAGTTTTATGTTGAAAAAGTATACTTTGATTACTTTGCTCATGTATTGGGTGATCGAGAAGTAATATATGCTTTCTCTACTCAGTTGATATTATTTCGCCAGTTATTATGGCCTTCATTCCTATTTTACTGTTTAACATGATATACAGTGATTGTTCTATACTTCATGGTCTGTGTTGTCCTCAAATAGTTCAATCACTTTCTGTTAATATAAAACTACCATTCATAAGTTTCATCTAATCGATGATCTTTAAAATCGTGTACATCTGTTTGTTATGTAGCATAAATTCCATCATACATGATCGTAAAATATCACTGGAAACTTCATTATATCACATAGTTTAGTGAAATTGATTTTTTGAGACGTGTATCCTTCGAAAAATTAGTCTATTGCACACTGAAATACAAGTGACTTGTCATTTCGATTAATTGGAATAACCTAAATCAATATTGAAACAGACACATTATCTCTGTTCATTTCGAATATGAACAACAAACAGAAAACTGAACACCATTGTTTTCAATTGGTTCGTTATCAGACTTAGCTCTAATATGCAGTTCTATTTGCATGAAAGTTAATTCTGATGAAAATCTAATGGTAAACAACATTGTGCGGTTCTATTTTTGTCTTTCTAATTTACATTATGAGAATTTTCAACCATTTATTTTGAAGCTGATTTGAATATCTGTCAGTTACGATCAGGATATTCAATTTTTATGCTTTTATCAAATATGTACCGATGGATACCCTTTTTCGATACATATTTCCTTTAAGAGATTCATTTGATTATCTATAACTTCAAGATTAAATATTCTTTGTATCCGTGTGGCGAAGAATATCATCAAAAAATAAAACTGACAAGTGATATTAATTCAGTCTATGATAAAGAATGTCAACGTTTTAAACGATCTTGTAATTACTGAAGATACCTAGGAGTTCACAGAGTCGATAGGATCAACAACACCATGAATATATGTTTTGCCTAAACTTTACAAACCTGCACTACCCCTCTGAATAGTTCTTCATTGGTTCGGATCATATTACTACGCTATAACAAAATGGTTGAGAGATTGCCTGCAACTCATAGGAAAATATATTTGTATACATTCTCTACATGACACTTCCGAATTTATTGATTACATACAATAAGTGAATATAAATGACCAACTTATCTTTTTACTTGATGTTCAATTAATATTAATCAATTTCCTATTCACAAAGACTATTTGCTTTATAAATGATCATGGGATTAATATCGAACTATAAAAATCTTACTAAAAGGAATTAATATTACGATGCACTTGTGATGTACACTTTACATTCAGCGACGTAATTTATAGACTAAAAGATTGCACAGGAATGGGATCCCCTCTTGACCGATTACTAGCAGATTGTGTCCAATCTGGAAAACAATGAACTTAAAGCAACTATTGACAACTCCCACTAATATAAAAGATGTGTGAATGATGTCTCTATGATTTGAATTAATAAGTACTCTTTGATTATTCATCTTCTGCAAAAATTTGATTACTACCACACAGCGATAAATTTCACACTAGGAGTTGAAAATAAACAAAGTATTGACTTTCGTTATGTCACATTGACAGTAAATCATGAAGAAACTGTAAGAAGATCTATTTACTAGAAACCTTCCTGGAATGGTCAACTATAAAGCTTTCACGTCAGGATCCACATCTGTTGAAATCAATACTAAATTATACACCTAGCCACACGAAAATTTAGAATTTGTCGTCTGGAGTTCATAGATAACGAAATGATTCACGTAAATAGAATAACTGTAGACAACATATCTCTATTAGTATTTATTGAAACGAATATAAAACTCAAACGTTCTAAAGCACAACTGATGAGTCTTGCAGACTGAACGCTATGTTCGTCTCCTAAGCTATTCTGTAACCCTCAAGCTAGAACTAGACAGCAACCTGAACACGAGAGAGAAGACTCGAAGTTTACGAGATGTACTTTACTCCAAGGTTCATTTTAATACAGAAAATACAGGGTTTTTATAATATTTTAAATGTCCTTGGGATGCTAGATTCTGTAATGTTACTAAACATAGTAGCAGTGTAGAAGCCAACCAATCAGAGCCTCTGCATGAGACGATTCGCTTCCTTGATATTTTTGGCAAAAACTCCAAGTGAACGCTGATTGTATGAAACGCCTCTTAGTGTTTCCTGATGCTTGCTTGTCTTTTGAAAGCAATTTTCTGGATCACCTCAACCACAACTAGCCCCCTTACCAAAGAAAACTCTTCAAATGAAGATCGATTTCAAAGGTGATATAGCTACAGACATCGTGAAGAAGGTAATTCCCTACACTCTCAGTAGAATATTTATCGAAATAACTTTGTGACTAGCGTTCTCTAACCGACCAATGTTAAGTAACAATCTCAAAGATAAATTATCACATTCGACTAGTTCCATTCCTGTCTATCAACTCATGTGGAGCCAGATATTTGGCTCGTCCGATGAGTATTTCATCCAAAAGAATTCAAGAACTGTCTGAAAAGAGGCGAGAATGGCTTAATAAGAAGCTCAATAATTGAACACCTTGTGAACACAGGTCATTCAATGCAAATTGACTCTGCGTTCAAAGTTATTTGTAAGGTAAGTGGAAAGCTGTCAGAGACAGTTGCATTGGCATTGAAGAAACATCTGCTGTGTATGTGTGTGTACCATGACCTTAATCTATCGTGACTTTTTATTCATTCCTTCTTTCATGATCATCTACTTCACTTCTATCTTCACTACAGACCCTTGATTTTTTCTGTTTCTATGATCCTACTAAATACAATTCATCTCAATTTCAGCATTTTATCTTATTATGCTGAGCTTTCCCCATCCAATTATAATTTCTCTATTTATCTTCATGATGAATATTCAAGGTTTCACCAAAAATATTATTATCATTTTTCTTCAGTAAAAACATGTTTATTTTACCTCACTGTTACCACGTTTAGCAAAATTTTATTATCTCTACTATTGTAGTTATGATCACCTTGAAAAATAAGTAAATGTTTGCGGTTGTACAGCTTTGAAAATGAATTCGCCGTAAACAGAATCCTTATCTAAACCAATGCTCCCTATTTTATAGTTATCATTAATGGACTTGCAAAACTAAGATTCTATTTTATTGGATTATCTGTAGATTTGTCTTCACATTATGTAATAATTTTACGTAAAACATAACTAAATCGGAACTGTATTGAACAAATAGAAATAAGAAAATGTTTGAGTAACAACAAGAAGTTGAAATTATTTCAAAATCAATTACAGCTTACCTTGGTGTATATTGGGAAACTTGGTATTGGACTCAATACCAAAGTCTGGGCGGTAAAATTTTTTGTACTCCCACTGATATTAACAAATGTTGGGAAAGTGTATTTTATTGTCGTTGTCACATTGCAATCTCCCATTAAATAAAGAGTATGTTTAAATTGCGTCTACACAATAAAGAAGAATGACATTTTTATAGTGTAAGAAAATAATGAAAAACAGAAAAATGGTTGATTATGGTGTTGTATTGATTTCTTATATCATCAACATATCACTGTTGTATTCGAAGAATTTTCTTACTGCTTAAGCGTCGTATCAATCGACCAAATGTCAGGATTAACATAAATTATGTCTTTTCCATTGATGATCAGTAGGTGAGTTACAATTTCGTGAATTTCGTGAATGAATAAATAAATCCGTTTCCCGGAAAATTGGCAGGAAATTAATGTGGATACTAAAATGTGAAATAATCGATCATGAATACATGCGTCAGGTCAACAATTTGAATTTGAAATCTAGAAGTGACCTAAACTAACAGTGTGTCACTATCACTCAGTGTTTTCGTTATCTTAAAACTCAAATATGTTTTTATTTGTAAGCAACCTTATTACTTGACACTTTCACTACAAAGATACTTTATCTATATCTTGTCTAATTCTAGGAAATGCCAATAATTACGTTATGAATTTGGGCAGAAAACCTTAAAATATTCCAATGACGTGTATCTCACTAAGATCATGGCGAATGACTCGATCATTACATATGACAGTTCTAGTTACTACATTTTGTTTCAAAAGAAGATAAAATCAGAAAAATTACGAACACACTAGAATTCAAGGAGTGACTGATGTTTATCATATCATCTCAGAATGTAGTCACCATCAAATACCTGTAAAATAACTGAGCTCATTCTGATGTTTACTATATTCGTCTTCAGATTGGCAGTCATATGCCTACCATGGACTTCGAACCGTCTAACGAACCATCAGTAGTGAAAACAATACTGACAATAATGGAACTGTCAACAGTAATTAACACTTTACCTTCTGGTGTTCAACTGAAGTTGATTCTGGTTAACTCTTGGACGGACAATTAGATTTGAGGGTAATGAGAAATTCTCACTATCAAAGCTACTGAGGATGTTTAGACAATCACATTGAAAGTGAAATATAGACCATGTTTATTTTGATTGGATTCGAAATGTAAACTTTGATTTGTATATCTGTTACTAACTACACTTAAATTTGTTACTAATTTTTTCTGTTGTTTTTGACGAAAATTTGTGTAACTGCGTTTCATGCAGTTTTTAAGTTTCTGGTCGAAACTACTTAATGCATTCATTATGTTGCCATTAACAACTCGAAAATTGATTTAAATGTATTTTACTATAATTGCATAAGGGATCAAGCATGTTTATTTTCAATTTTTATGTAAGAACACAATACCGACACAGTTTTATCTGAACACAGTGTACAACAGAACACTTACTATTTTGTAGACTTACACAGTAAGAATTTTGATTGATGGTGCATAATGGGCCGTAATCCACTCTCACATAACTGAAGAAAATAAACAAAAATCATTAATTTTGTGGTTTGTTTGTACATATTAGAGGAGTAATGGGGTGCGTTAACAATCGAATAGGCAAGCACAAAAGTTATGCTAATGATGGACAGAAATTTATTTTTTGGTATGGCGTCAACAGAGTAACGATACAGTCGATTGCAAAAAACGTATGAACCAAATGTTCTGTTTTACTTAAACTGTAATAATTAATAAAGACATCATCTAGAGATAGAATCACTATGAAATAATTCGCCGCTTTAACTTTCCAGGCATATGTTTACGTGAAAAGCATTGAAATCTTGTTTCACTTAAATCATAAACTGAACGACGTAATACCACCATTCAAAATGTGAATTGCCATTTCTCCCCAGTATGCGACTCCTCAACAGTTCGCTTTATGTGTACTGCTTCTACGTTTTCAATGATGGTCTAACATTGATCAGTTCATGATTTTAATGAAATTCAGAAATCTCTACAACCCTACACTAACATCTAAATCATGTGATACACGTCACTTTAAAGACATACATATGTGATCATAGACGAGTAAATTTCTATCACTATTTTATCACATCAACTGGTTTATCACTTTATCAGTTATTTCATAGCAACATTCTGTTAATGTTTGAAATCGCATAACTTTCAATACTTATCTATGTACTCATGTTTGAGTAGAGTAAAAATGATCATTTTGATGTTTAGAATTAATTCTTTATCTTTATATTTACATTTTTACCCGATCAGTTCCCTTAACAAATTTAAATGAAGCAAGAACTAAATTAAATGGATGATTTCATGAATTCATCATTGCATTTTACTGCTTCCTCTTCCTCTGTATGAATGAACTAGTTTGGTGGTCTTCAATTATTGACATAAATTGAAATGTGAAAAAATGAATTGCTCTGAGGTAAAAAATGGGTAAAATCGAACATAAGATTACTGACTCATAAGTAGTCTTAATCGATGTATTAATAGATTGTTTTACTATTTATTGCCTTGTGAATGTAAAGTGACAAATAACTTTCAGCAAAAGCATGAAAATTTAGCTCATATAATACAATGAAAATCATGTCAAACGTAAGTATTCAGCTCCAGCTGTTCAACTAAAACAATTTCTTGATTTACCAGTATAATTCTTATCTAGATCTCTTGAGTTTTTTTCTCATAATTTCACACCGTTCACTTTCGATCACTGAAAGTAAGTGTGTACATTAATGGAACGCTGGTCTAGTTACAGTAGCATATAAAGCAATTAATGAACAACGTAGGATTTAATCGGTTTGAACTAACCTACGTTCAGATGTCAAATTTAAAGAGAACGAGGTTGATAACCACACATCTGGATCAACTTGTTGTACAATTACTTTTGTAATATTAAGAGCTGCACTACCATTCACAATTCTGTTGATCCAGTATGTATAGAACGAACAACGTCTTTCAATCGGACACATACTCAACATAAATTGAAACGGTCCTCCAGTACACATTTGTTTATATCCATCCATGGTACTTGGATAATTTAAAGTCCAAGTATTTGTAAGAGTTGTAGTAAATCCCTATGTTTAAAAAATATCAAGACTGAAATTACCACTTTGTATGAAAAGAGTTACACAATTAGCAATAAAATGTTTTATAATCCCGAGTTTAAAAATTGCTTGGCAAAATCACAAATTAATATAGATTTTCCTCACTCATACAATTATGTACTGTACTTATTCAATAATATGTTTCTCATCTTAGTATCTGAAAAAGAAAAACTTCATGCACAACATGTTTAATTTCAACACAAACATTGGATTAATGTATTCATAGATGTATATTCAACTGATATTTTAGATCAACATAAATGTGAATGTCAATTACATACAATTAATTAAATTCATAAACCGATCGATGGTAGATCACAATTGTAAACCTGTGAGCACTGTACAGCTATTTGTCCTACTATGGGACTCCTCAACAGTGCGTATCCACGATCGTGCACGTGGGATTAATGTATAACTTCAACAAATACATGATTTTGCGCGACCATCTTCCATTGTATTCTGTGAGTAACTGTCTCACACTCGACATGATTATACATTAACATTGTTGGATACCCGCTCGGTGGTGTAGAGGATGAGCGTTCTCACGCGAGACAGAAGGTTCTGTGTTCGGGTCCTGCGTGCGAGATCGTGGATACCCACTGCTGAATTCAGTACTAGGACGGAACAGTTGTCCAGTGCTTTCAGTTTTTCACTTGTGGTCTAACATCAATCGCTTGATAATCCTAATTAAAACCATCTTTCAAACCAATGAAAATTATATGAAATTTTGGTTACAATCTCATTAATGAACTTAAGTTAATATGTCATTTCTCAATGTCATTCTTTGTCAAGTATATCCTCTAAAACCTGGAAATTGTTTTCATATCTTTCTTCAGATGAAAAAATTCAATGTCATTATTTTCAAAACCATTAACATCATCTACATAAATGGAATATAAGAGGAGATACAAAGTGTTTTTTTAACGAATGTCATCAGGTGTCAAGTATACATTATTAGTGGTTTCCAATGTATTACCAATTAATTGTTTGCGATAACATTTTACTTTCATGAACATATACTTTACAACTACGGAATGGCTAATCCTTGTGATCCCACTATTTTCACGTCATATAGATCAAAACTAAAGTTCAATAAGTAGACAGTGTACAGTTTCATATGAATAATGGGTTTAAGTAAAGTGACCCAATTTAAATGAGCCACTTATGGAGAAAATAGAGCTTAACTTTTCTCCCAATTTCTTGCTCTGATGTCGTTTTCTTTCGTCGACCATGGTCGCAGAACGACATACGACTGGAGTGGATTATTGTTCATGTGAAGGTCGATACATGTTAACTACTGAAGCCAGACGTCTTCATGAGTAACTCTTCCTGTAACAGATTAGTCCATTGGTTAGGAAGCTAGCTGAAACCACTTGGTTAAGGACCGATCGCATACCGTTTGGAGGACAACCTCTGGTTTCCAGAAGTAACAAATTCAGTTAATATGTAAGACGTTTCACACTTCTGACGTATCGTTACAACTTATTAACGTTACTTCATTTAGCATTGTTCGCTTGAATCTTGCCATTGATGTTTCGGACTGCAATTGATCAGTCTCTTGTTGACATATGTGCATCCTCTACGGATTGTATCTGCACACAAGATTAAATACAGATACATCCAGCTGACGAGTCCCAAACAGAACGGAACGGGCTTCCTGGATTCCACTGCTAGCCGCCATCCATTTTTGCTTATTAACATTACTATTAAAAATATGTGACATAATTATACACAATTTATGGACTATAAATGTATTCTAGGAACAATTCACAGAGTTGTTATGGCTATGACTTAATACATCTATTTTTAGTTCAACAAATTGGTCATAGGGGGCACAATATTTCCACACAAACGTATACACAAGGCTACATGGATCTCACCGGACCACACTACAGAGAACCAAATAGATCATATTTGCATCAACAAAAAATTCCGAAGGACAATAGAAGTTGTGAGAACCAGGAGAGGTTCTGACGTAGCTTCAGATCACCACCTAGTTGTAGCCAATTTAAAACTGAAGCTAAAAAAGAACTGGACAAGTGGACAAACAGCAATACAAAGGTTCAATACAGCCTTGCTTCGAGATACTGACAGACTCAATGAATTCAAGATAGCTCTCAACAACAGGTTTCACGCCTTACAGGATCTAATGAAGGAAGATTAGACTACTATGGAGGACAACTGGAAAGGCATCAAAGAAGCATTAATTTCAACGTGTCAAGAGGTTCTGGGCCTAAAGAATCACCATCATAAGGAGTGGATCTCTATAGAAACTCTGGACAAGATCAAAGAAAGGAAGAACAAGAAGACAGCAATTAACAACAACCAAACGAAAGCAAAGAAAGTCCAAGCACAAGCTGAATACACAGATGCAAACAAGCAAGTGAAGAGAAGCATTAGAACCGACAAGAAGAAGTACGTGGAAGAACTAGCAACGACGGCAGAAAAAGCTGCTAGAGAAGGAAATATGAAACAGCTTTACGATACAACGAAGAAACTATCAGGGAAATACAGTAAACCAGAGAGACCGGTCAAAGACAAAGAAGGCAAGCCAATCACCGAAATTCAACAAGAGCGGAACAGATGTGTAGAATACTTCGAGGAACTCCTGAATAGGCCGGCTCCAATGAATCCACCGAACATCGAAGCAGCACACATAGATCTTCCTATAGATGTCAACCCACCAACTACGGAAGAAATCAGAATGGCCGTCAGAAAAATCAAGAACGGGAAAGCAGCGGGACCCGACAACATACCAGCTGAAGCACTGAAGTCAGACATCGAAGTAGCTACAAACATGCCTTACCTTCTATTCAAAAAGATTTGGGAGGAGGAACAAGTGCCGATGGACGGGAAAGAAGGACACTTCGTCAAGATTCCAAAGAAAGGAGATCTGAGCAAATATGAAAACTACAGAGGCATAACACTACTGTCAGTACCAGGGAAAGCCTTCAACAGAGTGTTACTGAACCGGATGAAGGATGCAGTAGACGCCCAACTTCGAGATCAACAGGCTGGATTCCGTAAGGATCAGTCGTGCACAGACCAAATCGCAACACTACGGACCATCGTCGAACAATCAGTTGAGTGGAACTCATCACTATACATCAACTTCATTGATTATGAAAAGGCATTCGACAGTGTAGATAGCAAGACATTATGGAAACTTCTTCGTCACTACGGAGTTCCTGAGAAGATTGTCAATATTATCCGGAACTCATACGACGGACTACAGTGCAAAGTAGTGCATGGAGGACAGCTGACAGATGCATCACAATTGAGGACCGGAGTCAGACAAGGCTGTTTACTCTCTCCCTTCCTCTTTCTTCTGGTGGTCGACTGGATTATGAAGACCTCAACATCTGAAGGAAAACACGGAACACAATGGACAGCTCAGAATCAATTAGATGATTTGGACTTCGCAGATGACCTAGCCCTCCTATCACGTACACACGAACAGATGCAGATGAAGACAACCAGTGTAGCAGCAGTCTCTGCATCAGTAGGCCTCAGCATACACAAAGGGAAAACCAAGGTCCTCAAATTCAAAGCGGAGAACAGCAATTCAACCACACTTGATGGCGAAACTCTGGAAGATGTAGAGTCCTTCACATACCGAGGAAGCATCATCGATGAACAAGGAGGATCCGATGCAGACGTAAAGGCGAGGATCGGCAAAGCAAGGGCCGCTTTCCTACAATTGAAGAACATATGGAACTCAAAACAACTTTCAACTAATATCAAAGTCAGAATCTTCAATATCAACGTCAAGGCAGTTCTACTGTGTGGAGCTGAAACTTGGAAAACTACAACAACCATCATCAAGAAGATACGGGTATTTATAAATAGCTCTCTAAGCAAGATACTCAACATCCATTGGCCGGATACCATCAGCAATAGTCTCCTGTGGGAGAGAACAAACCAACTTCCAGCTGAAGAAGAAATTAGGAAAAGACGATGGAAATGGATCGGACATACATCACGCAAATCGTCAAACTGCATCACGAGGCAAGCCCTAACTTGGAATCCTGAAGGGAAGCGGAAAAGAGGAAGGCCAAAGAACACATTGCGTCGGATGATAGAAGCAGATATGAAAAGGATGAATTACAACTGGACGGAGCTAGAAAGGATTGCCCAGGACAGGGTTGGATGGAGAATGCTGGTGAGCGGCCTATGCTCCTTCACGAGGAGTAACAGGCGTAAGTAAGTAAGTAATGAGACGAACCATCTAGAACCTGTGTATTTATGAGTTAGTATTCGAGATGAGTTATTACTCAAGTCTTCTTTGTGAAACTAAGAAGAACAAAATTACGGTATTGTATGCATGACGTGATGTGATGATGATGATAATTTCATGTTTCATTACCAGACAAAATCATAGAAATATTCTATTGAAATGTTAAAGTAGAGCTCAATTTAATATGGAAGCGACAACTGAGAATGTAAGAAAATAATTTAGCGTAATATTGGTGTATTCTGCTCAAATTATTGATAAACCTGTTAAACGTGTCACAATGTTGTCATGGAAAACAATGATTGTCCTCTGACGGATGGTTTATGTTTTATTCTCATATATGTTATTACGTTGAACTAATAAGACTTATTACCTTGCATTTAGCTGAGGTGAAAAACGAAATACAATTCATATTATATTCTGCCAGTTATAAATTGAACCGAGCGAACAGCAGGAAAACTTAATAACCGAATTATCGGCCATTTGAGAAGATCCTCTAGTGTGAATAACGATTTCACGCCAGAATTCGGTACTGATTGTGTTTGACGAACTATCAACATCTAATTACAACCACAGATAAGTGATATTCCCAAATCTATCTTTTCTTAAAAAACCTCAATAAAACTACAATATGCATTTATAATATGGATAAAAGTTTTATCGAGACTACGTAACCAAAACATTAGGGTTTTTCTTAAAAAAACACTTACCATTGATAATGTATACGGATTCCATTAAATAATGTAAATAAGTCAAGTAACAAAATTATCTTAATGTAATTTGAAGCAAGTTGAATGAAAATGTGTACTCTGACTTACTGCTGGAGTAGTGGTAATAAATATGAAATTACCAAATATAGAGATTGAATTGACTGTCAGATTGTAAGTGAAATTGACCAGTGGTCTGACAGAATTCGCAGTGAACATTGGGATATAGTAAGTCAACTGATTTGCTGCCGAAGTCGTTTGATCGGTTGCAATTCCTATAAACGCAAGATATAAATTGACAGTCTAATTTCCTGATGAAGCGAGTTTGAATGCTTGAATTTTGACAACTATCAATTTATTACATCTTTGTGCATCTACACAAGAAAATGTAGTTCTTATGGGATCGACAAACGACAATTTCATACGAAATGGATATTAATACACTCGACCTACTACAAACATAACGTTCTTGAAGATTTTTCGATCAGCTGAAGGAATATTTGTTTGAAAGTGTTCAGATTGTTTGATTGTAAAATCAAATATTGATATTTTAGATGATCAATTAGTAATGTATAGGTATATTAAATACTGTGCTAGGTTGTAACACATCCACTAGGTTTCAAGAACGTTCGATAAACGAAGGAATTCCTCGTCAACTAATCTACTTTCAACTATGCACCAGCACATATGCATGCAGAATTATCAATCTAGAAACAATTAGTACCTGAAGTTGTATTTCACATTTAGGTTTTGAAGTGGGTATAGAGTAAAGATATGCAGAATTTATCAAAACATATATGGAAGTAACGTATCATAATTGTCAGAATAGATTATAATAATAAGTAAAATAACATGAGGAAATAAAAAAAGTTTGTGCAAGCACTATGTATAAAAATAACATTGAATTGAATATTAGGGAGATGGATATCATCTACCAACTTAGCTGGACGATCTCAAACAAGTACTTAATTACTTACTTACCAACTCCTGTTACTTCTAGTGTTGGAGCATAGCCCACCCACAAGTATCTTACGTAGACAATTGTTTATAAATACTTGTAGTAGTTTTCCAAGTTTCAGCTCCGTACAACTGAACATACTGTCTTGACCTTCACATCGAAGATTGTGTCTTTGATATTGGTTGAGAGTTGTTTTAAGTTCTACATGTTCTTCGATTGTAGGAATGTTATCCTTACTTTGCCAATCCTCGCCTTTACGTCTCTATCCAATCTTCCTTGTTCATCGATGATGCTTCCCAGGTACGTGAGAGAGTAAGCAGCCTTGTCTTACTCCGTTCCTCAATTGTGATGCATCTGTCAGCTGTCATACATGCACCACTTTGCACTGTAGTCCATCGAACGAATTCCGTATCGTATTGACGACCTTGTCAAGTACACCATAGTGTTGAAGAAGTTTACATAAATTCCTCCTATCCACAATGTCGAACACTTTCTCATAGTCAAGCAAGTAGATATACAATTACGAGTTCTATTCAATTGATTGCTGAACGATGATCCATAGTGTTGTGATTTGGTTTCTGCACGACCGATCCTTACGAAATCCAGTCTATGGATCTCGAAGTTGGACATCTACTGAATCCTTCATTCGATCCAGCAACACTCTGCCGAATACTTTTCCTGGTACTGACAGCAGTGTGGTTTCTCTGTAGTTCTCACATTTGCTCAGATCTTCTTTCTTTGATACCTTAATGAGTTGTTCTTCTTTCCATTATGCCAATGGCACTTATTCCTCCTCCAAAACCTTCCTGAATAGAACGTGGCACATGTTTGTAGTAACTTCTATGTATATAGGAAGGTTTGTGTGTGCTATTTCAATATCCGGTGGATTCAGTGGAGCTGGCTTACTCAAAAGTTTCTCAAAGTGTTCTATTCACCTGTTCCTCCGTTCTTAAATCTAGGTGATTGTCTTGCTACTCTTGAAACTGTTCTTTATCTTCCTCATCGCTATCACTGGTAAATGTATAACACTGGGTAATATTCATTGTGATTTCATCCTTCTTGTATTGGAGGATGTTTGATGATTTTGGATCCATGAGGTTCCCATCCTATAATTTCCCTTCATGCGTCACTGAACAGCATCAATGCAACTCCCTGAGTGTGAAGAGAATTTTCCTCTTCGTTAACAGAGCATAGCAGCATCTCACTCGTATCTATCTTCTTCTGTGCGGATTGGATCCAGTGGACTTCACTGATTTTGAGCGCTGTCAAGTTGTATTTCTTCATTTCTACAGCTATTTGAATAGTCTTCTCGGTCTCTCACATTATCCGGACGTTCCGTGTACATATAAAAATTGTTGCTGTGGTTGTTAGAATGAGCATCGGTCTCATGACTTCCGAAGAATCTCGGCCTTCACCACTAAGCTTCATAGTTCTTCTGAATGAAGATACTTCAACTCGGAGATCAGAGTTATATTGCTTTAATTTGTCTATTCTGATTAGCGTTTGTTTTCACAAGGTTGTTTTCTACGGGATTAGGTTGCTGACAATGATTAGTCAATACAGTTATTGTTACAAATAAAACAAATTTGTATGACGTTTCTCAAGAACGTTCACTTTAAGTACTGACTAGAACTGAATCTATTATATCAGTCTTATGACTGATCATCATTATTTCAAATAAACTATTGCTATATTCAACCAGGTAAGAAAATCTTTTAAGATTAATTAATGTAGGCTAGTAAAATTACTTTTCAGTTGGGATAATCCAAACTAATCTCGATATAGGAATGTCAGTGGGAATATCAATTAATTCTTTCTGGATAAATTTCAAACTAGGAGAGCGTTGTAAACTGCAAGCTTAATACTACCGTGTTCGTAAATTCACAGTTTGATTAAGAGAGTGTGACAAATTTATTTTCTGAGTTCCACAGATATTGATGGTTTTTGGAACTTAGATGAATTTTGTTCTCTTTGGAACAATAAATTTAAGGAATGGTAGACTTGATCGCAGACACTAATTACAATTAAGAATAAGGTCAAATGATTAACAATAGAGATGTTTTTTCACAGACATATCTATATAAGTGTTTCAAAGAGAAGAGTAGACATAGGAAATTATGTTGATTTACGGGCGAACCGTCACTAATTTTATCAGGAACGGATTCAATGCTTATGGTTTAAATGAAACGGTGAGCTGAATAGGTTAACACTCAAGGAAACAATCTACATCGATTGTTTTGATGAAATCATAACAAAATTCAGGGGGATTAATATGAAAGTGCAACCACGTAGATAAGAGTGTGCATATGTAGTAAGAGCAGAAAAAGCATACATTATTGAATAAGTAATAAAACCTTATTAACTGACGAGAAATTAGCTTGAAGACTGCTGTGACATTATTCGGTGGCCTTATTAAATACAGAGAAAAGGATTCATCTATAAACTCGTTCCCTAATGAGAGATAGTGTATAAGTAATCATATCAATACCGACCACTATTAGTAAAACAGTGCAGTAAATGTTAACAAACCTTCGTAATAAGCTTTATCTATACTGATATAAACCATATTTTCCAAAGAGTTCGAAACTGAGCTGACATATGGCAATGATGTTGATTGGCTTAGCATTATTGGCTTGACTAATATGTATTCTTGGTAGGCACCTGGAGCATAAAGTTGAAAATATATCGACTGCCATACATTGGGTTTGAGAGTTAGCGTTAACTTCAGTGATGTTAAATAGTTCGGTATAACTTGATTTCTGACTGTTTTTGAATCAATAGAAATTAGATCAACTCCTGGAGCCTGACTTGATGACTTAAAAAATTAATAAATGAACATTCCTCTTATATTCTGTAAAAGTTTAAATAAAATGTGTTATGAACCAAACACTTACAACTTACCCCTATAATCACGAATTAATAAGCTCGATAAAATTACAATGCTCTCCAGTGAATTTATTGAGGATGAATTTTCGAATTTCCTGATGGATCCATTAACCTGTCATTCAAGTCAATCAGAGAGTCAGGTTTGGTGTTCAAATCGAAAGTAAATCCTCATAGGATTATTCTACGAGGTGATTTAATGAAGAATATTATAAATTAATGAATTTTCACTAATAATTTAGTAACATAGTGTGTATCATAAATGCTAGCTATCTTATATTCAATATTACTCTGCTTTTACTGGTTACTAAAGCATCATACAGGAAAAATGTCTTCAAACTTTACAACACAACGAAGTGAACAACCTGTTTTACATCACTTCAGCTTGTGTATGTATGTCACGTTGCAAAAATCATACTTGTTCTAACCAGTTATCAATATTTTTCTGAATCTAAATCACAGCCAGTAGTTTATGGTAGGGTTAACAAACTGAAGTAAAGTATAAAGTAAAATTCAATGTAAAAAAATATTGTTTCAAGTCATACCAACACAGTAGAGTAGTTATCTCGTGGAGTAATAGTTAATGTTTTCGTAAAGTTGGATACACCAGAGGTAAATGTTGATGTGATTATCAAAGGCTTTGTGGTGATTGGAATTATCGAATAACGCATTGCAATATCACACTGAGCATCTGTACATGATTCATTGAAATACACCGAGTTTATTTGCAATCTAGCCAAATTACTTTGGTAATCGGGAAAAGAAAATTAAAAGAAAAGGAAGAAAGACTTGTTGATATTTGTTAGAATTAGAGAAATACTGTAGTGCATCTTCTGATTTAAAATTCATAGAAGGGATCATTACCGATGAAGCCCAACTTCAAACTGAGATATGAATAAATTAATGATTTCAAATTGTCATAGTTAATTACTATAAAACAAAATTAATGAAAGGCGTTCGGTGGTGTCAATAAAACTTCCAATGGTGTGAATGTTTTTCCCCCGTTAATTGATTTAAAAATAGTCCAGTATGAAATCATCTTTATAATGGTTATTAGGGATGAGTTGTTGTTTCACTGAAATATTTTGATAATCACAGTTAGTTAGTGAGTAGAAAGTGCATAATTTCATCACATTCATGAGTGTTTTGCCTAGTGTGAACAACAAATATAGAAGTGGTTATTGAAGCTGGTTAGGTTCAATTTTCATTTTATTCATGGTTCATCGAAATGATAGTAATAATAGGATTATAAGCAAAGATGGATAGGGGCTAGCAGTGGAATCCAAGACGTGCGTTTCGTCCAATCTGGGACTCGTCAGCTGAATTTACCTTCATCTTAGATGTGATGTTCACTTTGAGACTCGAACCGCTTGCCATTCGTTTCAAACGGCATCGCGCTATCCACTTAGCTACTGAGTCCTCAATAGACTGAAACGCGTGTCCCGGATATCATTGCTGGTCACTATCCATCTATGCTTATTATGCTTATGAATTATGGCAATAGCAAGACAATACGCACAGTGTGCACATATGCCATTAACAGACTGATCAACTGCAATCCCACACATCAATGGGAAGATTCAAAGAAACAATACCAAGTGAATAATAATATATTTTAATAAAAATCATATAGTATGTGCCAAGTTCATTTTGTCTTTACTCAATTAACTTTTGAGAAACACTTAGTATACAATCGGCTACGCATATTGTTAAGGATCGTGATAAGGCACATTATGTAATAATGAAAATAATAATGTTGATACGTCAAATGGGTTTGATCAACAGTGATTCAGTTATGTTCAGTCTTTTCAACGTATATAAAGGATGACGGTCAGCATCATGGATACTACAACATTTATATATATAAATGAAAATTGAATATTAACTCGTTATAGATTACCTACATTTAGGTCCCCACTACAGTGACTGGTAATTGAATGTATGTGGCAATCTACAACCCCTACACGTGTTGAATTCTTAACGAAAATATGGATTAACAAAAGGATAATAATGTACAATTTTTATATACTGACAATTAAAGTATTTTCTCAAATATCTAAATCTTGTCTATATGAAATAATGTAGAGATCAAATTTCAACTTCACTATAATCTAACACTTAGTGGATATTTCTGAAATGATAACTCATTAAAGTATAATGCATTTCTTTGCACAGAAATCTACTGATATGTGAAATGTAATTTGGAAAACTGATAAAACAAACTGACATAGAGTTCTGGATAATACATTCAGATTTATTGACGAATTATGCAGGATAGTCTTCGAGAATAATCTCCAAAATTTGAAAGTTTGGTAGATATTGTGTTTTTCAACAAGGGATTCTTGTTTGAAAATAGTGAATGATCGGTATTTGTAGTTAGTTTAGTCAATGATTGATGTTGCGGAATTGATCCATATCCGTATACTTGATTTTTTGTATTATTATTCATGAGTATATATATAATGAATTATATATTCATATTTACATATACATAAGAATACGGTTGATAATCAAGCTTACGGTTTAACAGAAAAATCATAGGCCACAAGTGCTACACCTTTTAATAGATATCCAATTGTTTGAATACTCTGTCTGATTATAATTGCTTCATTTGAATCTACTTGTAGTTGAAAAGTTATCGGCATGTAGACAAAGTCTTTAACGAATTTCACTCGAACTTCTACAATTGTACTAAAGTTTACTGTTGGTTGTGAATTTCGTGGTTCGACTTTTTCAATGGTAACTACAGGAGTTTTAGAGACCTAATTTCAAATAGTGTTTGGAAATGATAACAAATAATAATTTAATGAATGCAAAATTGTGAGATTGATTACAATTTAAGTTTACATTTATATGTAGTTTATATTTGCGTTATACGCATTCATCTGAAATGATTTACTTGGAATAATAAATGTTAGACAAACAGCATGACTGATTAATTTAGGTGTGATTTAAACGAAAAGTATTTGGGTAAGCAGGACATCCAGATTTTGTTGAAAATTATCAGGAGCTAAAGTGGCGTAGTATTATATTTCACGCTACATTTATAAAGCTGTGCAATTTAAAGTGCTCCATGCTAAAACATTGATATTTTTGTATTTCAGTTGCTAACGTCTGTAACCACTAATTGCTTCGGTATAAATCAACAATCACTAAGTCAAATATCGTAAAATAAACGGCCGTACCTTTTAATGCTAAACAAGAGATCTTGACTAAATCTGTACCCCTTTTAATTGGGTCAAAAATTTATTTCAGTGGAGCACATTAGTTCACCTTCAGTCAATTCAGTGACAGATGGATGATGACTCAAAATCAGACTATGATACAAAAAATCGACGTGTATAAGAAAATGGTGGTTGATGTGATCTGGGATTCGATACCAAAATCAGTATACCTACAAAACAAAATTGTTTAGACTTAGTTTGTAGGAGTTTGGATTATTCGGCTGTAGATTTTCTGATCGAATTCTGAATAGTCATATTTGGTGCATGTGCATCCAATGCAGATCACTTTCATATTGTTGGAACAGCTTCTGAAAACTACGACTGAGCCTCCAGAGGCCCTAGATCAGCCAAAGAGTTCCATCTAATCAGAGAGTAATGGGGATTTCTAGAATATCAAAGTGGCATGCTACTATTGATCGGTGGCATAACATGTTTATTCGAGGACTGGTTGATATAACAAGCGCTAAATACCCATGATTTTCTGTACAATTTGATTCTTGCCCATCAAGCACTTTCTCAAGTCTTCTTCTTCTTTCTTCTTATTTGCGACTCGTAGGGTTCTAGCGTTTGATTGCTCAAGTAATACGCGGTATATTAAGAATCTAAACTAAATATAAAATTGAACAGTGTCCAAATATAGCGCTATAAGAAGTGACTAGTGAATGTCAGACGTTGGTGAACTTAAAACATGACATATCTATGGTTGAAAACAGTGGCCGGCCACCGTACGTACAGGTAATAAATGGTCTGAAAGATTCTTTTGTACGCACACAAGACAGCTCTAACAAACAACCTCCATCGTAGCTCTAGTTATACGGTGAGTGTTACTACAAGAATTTTTTCCCACATAAAAACTATCGTTGTACTAAATGTCATCGTAAGTGTCATAGAGAATCCAGCTGCAAAAAATGAACCCACCGTCGTTCTTCGAAAACCTATTTCAAAAAATACAGATCTGGTGCAATAACTCACAAAATATTGATATCTCAGATCAGAGCACGAATTTAACGCCGAAGAAAGTATATACCTTTGGATATTATTGAACAGCATACTCGCCTTCGACTCGATACAGCATTTGATATCACTCTCATCAGCCAACAACACAACTAACACACAGTGCATCTGGTGGGAAGTTGAATATTTTTGGAGAAGTACCCTGCCATTTTTCTAAATGTAATGTGACAACGAAGGTAACAGTATAGCTTACAAAGAATCCAGCACTTGACTTGTTTGGATTAGATCTGATAAACACTAAAACTAGCAGAGAATTTGATTAACAACATCTGCGGCCGAACCAGAACTGATAACCCCTTAGAGTGGAAGCAGAAAAATGCTGTGCTACAAAGACACCACCACGTGTTTATAGAAGGATTGGGAGAATGAACGAAAGTCAAAGCAATACTAACCCTCAAAAATGTTGTTTAGATGAATTATTAAATGAAAACATAAATCAAGCTTACAGGAGTAGTGAGCATGGGTTTCTCCATAGACGTTACTGGAAGATTTACAACAAAACCACGTACAGTTACTGTTCCAGAAAGCATCTCAACGTACGTTTGTATTGTATCACCCAAGACATAGATGGTATCATACCATAATTTCACTGCGAATTGGAAATTATAAAAAACATTCCATGGGTTATTGTTTCTAAATATACCGATTGTCGTTGTGCTTGCTATTCTTCGCCCTTGAAATACAGTGTATTCTGTTATTAGCCTGATCTGTAATGTTAGTTGAACAATCAAATTGAAATACGACATCAAAACATTTATTAATGTCGGATTACTCGATAGTGATGTGATAGTTCTTTGTTTATGAATATCAGCGGAATCAATAGGATAACGTTTAACATCACTGAGTAAGAAAAATCTATACTTTATGCCTGACTTCGAGAGAAATATTATTGCTCAACTTCCAGCAATCAAACTAGTAAGAAGTAATACACACAAAACACTCCACACATATACGACATGTATTGTAATGACAAGATATTATACGCTGTTCAGTCATGTGACATATAAGTTTTCGGGTCAAATCAATTATATGTACATAACTCAATGTAACTGATCCAGTGAAGATGGATACATGACTAATTAGAGGATGGAATAAATCTATTGAAAATCCATTACTGTTTCATATGATGAATACAGCACTCAATCAACAGCGTCCACCATCAGATAAATAGAACCAATGACTATTGCAAGGATTTTGCTTTTGCATTCATTAAACATACCAGAGACAAAAACCAACAACACTCTTTTTGTTTAGTAATCTCCTCTTTAAAGTTTCCACCTCCTAGATTAAAGCAATGTTCATTCGTTGTTTTTATTAAACATTAAATGTTAGAGTATGTGCATCTAGGAATCATTGATCAAAGGAATGTCTAAATAATTTTAACTAATTAGAGTTTCCATAGATCAGTGAATACTGAATTAATAAACTGGTTGAAATTCATGTCAAACACAAGTCAAAATATTAAAAGTAGAAAGCTTTACTGTTAAGGGCTATACAAATTTATACTAATGGTGTAACCGTAGTTTATGTTACATGCAACATGTAGTAACTGTGTATGGAAATATAATTAGACACGTATTATCAGTGGAAACTCGTCCATTATTATAGAAAATATAGTAAAATATGAAACTATGAATTTCTGACCTGTATCTCCCTGTTCTTCTTTAACCAAATGATCATTACGCAAACCCTTTTAATATTTGAAATCTCGGATCATTACATGAAACAATGAATTTTATTGGTAGTGAAGAAGTATTCCTATTTATCCAACAGACACAGAGCTGAATGTTTCACTCCGAATTCATTGAAGTTTTAATTCTAATCTCAGTAAGAAGGTGTTCGAGTAAATTATACATGAAGCTCAACATCTGATTGAACTTCTAATAACAGTGCACAGAATGGAAATTTTCCACTAGCTGTTATCTCATTTTAATGAAGGATCTATTATGTCTGCTTGTAATTAGTGGATGTGTTAATCAGTAATTAATTAGATATTCTCCAAACATGTTTCTAGGTAATAGTGATATTACAATGACGAGATAAGCTTGTTCATTCAAATGATTTTGATTTTAGACAAATTCTTAAAATAAAAGATTAAATTGTTTAATGACATTCATTTATGTAATTAATTCATAAAACTATTAATTAGTTAAGGATAAGCAGAAATAATGAGGAATATTTGTCTAGAATGAACATTGAGAAGTGATGCCCTATAGGCGGAAACTATTAACTAAGAAACTAAATTGTCAAGATAATTATAACTGTTATTCTGAATTAGGTTAATTATAATATGCGAATCGACGTTCAACTTTATCTGACTGTTGTAGTCAAATAATGGCAAGCCAAATATAATTGTTATCAGGGAAAATATAAATAAAATCCAAATGTCTAATTCAATATTTATGAGGAAGTATGTTGTTATTCCACTGAATGTACTAATGATTGGGAATTTGATTACATGTGTTTTTCATTGCAATAATAATTTTAATAATCATTATTATTACGTAGTGTAGACAGACATCATCAGTGGAGAAACGTGGATCTATTCCCCAATATGTTGAATACACATATACTCATTAAATTCAGATGTCAGAAACATTCCAGTGATAAACACCTAGACATAGATGGGCGCGGTTGCTAGCATGCCTTACAAGCCCAGTCATCTCAAATTTACGACTGCTCTCTGAATTCAAATTTGACCTTGCTCCAATAGTAATCAATGTTTTGACAGAGTAGATGATTAGTCTGATTTTTGGTAGAGTGGGTAATGTGCCAGATTTCTATCTAACTTTTGCAGAGTCCGTGGTCAGTCCGGTCTCTGCTGTGTTGCTTGCTTTATTTCATGGGGAGAAATATCAGCCCCACACACTCCATAGGATATATATATATATATATATATATATATATATGCAATCACCCCAGTCCGTAGGCTAACAGTTTTTCCACTGAATGAATGTATGCTGTTTATGAAAGACTAGAACATTATGACAATGAAAACCATCTGATAAGCAGTTTGTAAACCAACCAAACTATGATCAAATGAATGGTAAATTTAGTGAAATAATTTAATTTCTATTACTGATATTTGCCTGAGACCACAGTAAGTAAATATTAGCGATTAGCGAGGATTTGTTGAACACAAAACAGTAACCATTAACATCAATGAATTCGTGATAAATATTAGACCTCCATCCTAAGTGTTTTAACAACTTAAAAGTTATATGCACACTAAACGCTCGATAATGAAACTCATTATCTGAATAATAACTTCAAAATATGCATTCAGATACGATTGTTTAGCATATTGTAATATTATTGTTACCACGCAACACACTAATTGATTTCGGGTTCATACTATCGACCTGTATATTGTAAGTACTCGGTACAACGAAAATGTCAAACAATGAATTGAAAATCGAGTGGATTATGTTTTTATTCAGTATGAAAGTAAAATAACAGACAGATTCGATTCAGACTTTTTCATTCAAGAAGAAATGGCAACGCTGAGGAAACTGGATTTCCAATTAAGTAGTTATTCTTCTGGTGAAGGTGAAAGGGATTGGAATAGTCATAAGATATGTTTCGAAGTGAACGACTTGATACTAAATACGTCTCATGACTTGATGCGCAATACACTGATATCACGGAATGCAGGATTTTCAAACAATCCTTTTGATGGCCTCTGCATATATTGATATTTATCATATGAAAATCTCATCCAAGAATATGTTACAAAACATGATAGTTGACGGTACAAAATCAGCATTAGTCATTTTACATCAAAGATGAAAAGTGAACTTGTTTGATCATGTGTAAGCTGAACAGAATAAATAAACAACTGTGGGTCTGCTGGGCAGTTATTTCAATCAGAAAGGTTACTGCTATTAGTGATATTTATGATTTCGGAACATCAGAACTACTGATATTTGTTTGTTTGTACTGAAGTTCGAATTTTCGGGGTTTACTCATCATATTTGATTGATTCATCTGGGTTGAGTCCTGTTGATCAATTCATATATACGTCGCGATTGGAGAAAAGGATGATGATAGAGTACCAATTAGAAGTAAAACCATTATTTACTATTGTCATTTATTAACAGACTATAATTGTGGATATGTATTAATGCAGTCAATTGTGACTTTGTAGCATTGGTTATGGTTCATGATTGCTGAATACAAAACTTTCTCCTGTATAATAGTTTTCTGTTTTGATCTTAGCCATGTTTGGATAAGTTAAAGGACAGTATTGTAAGGTAACTTATTGATTATCTGTACACCGGCCGTGATAAAGTGTTTCGAAAAATTGTTGGATTTTACAGTTTACCTAATGGATCGATTTTAGATGAACAGCCACTCAGTAATAGAAAGCATTAGGAAGATGCTTTGCAGTGGAATGGCACTCCTCAGCATAGCGTATCCATGGCTTGAATGTAGACCAACCCAGGACATTGAGTTATCATAGCGAACGCTTAGCCTTTAGGTCACTGAGTTGTCGTCCGACGGTTTACATGTCTAACATAATTTAAGTCGTGATAGTCCACAGACGCCATCCGATACCGATGTTGGGTACCTACCTTACACGACAATGCTAAAGAATATTGAGTGATAATTAGGTCCCTAACTAACCAATCAAAGCGTTGCATAAACTCCCATCACAAAAATCTGGTCTGGTCTGTCTTAACAGATCAAGTTTAAAGCCAAGTTGTCCTTGTTCTGACCATAGATTTCATATTGACTGGTGTCTTCAGTATCGCATTTACAGTTCTAGCAGAATATCTGGCTTCCTATAATGTCCCTTGATGATGAGGAATAAACACTATGATAATCCATTATTTCGGGGTTGATATTTCTTCTCTCAATCCCTTCCTACCTAGTTATGTTTCTTGTGAAGTCTTCTAAACTGGTTTTATTATCAAGGTTTGACTTGATAGTTGAAAATAACCTGTGCATCAGCTGGAATGTTAGTAATAAAGTGATAGTATATTGATCATAACGAAGTCAGTAGAAAATCGATTTTCTCGCGTTTTGTGACTTTGTGTAAACTATTCTTCAGAGTAGACAAATAAAAAAGAATAACCGAATCAAATTTACACAGTTTTAGATCGCATAAAAGAACACGTCAAAATATTTATTTTATTATTTTATACGATTTTAATCTGTGTTAATTTTTTTCGGTTACCTTTTTATATATCTACTCTGAAGAAGCGGTTTACACAAAGTCCAAAAACGCGAGAAATGTGATTTTCTACTCATCGGAATATAACCAATATATCGTTGTTTTATAATTTTAAGGTAATTATTTATCCTCAGGTTAGACGTCACTAACTTTAACTGTTTATTTGTCTCTTTCTGTGACGAGATAATAAACTGTATATATCAGTTTATTAGCAACTGTCTTAATTGTTTATCAAATATTTATTAGCTTACTTTTCTACAATGTGTCAACTTTCCAAATATAACGATTTTTCTAGAATGACTCTGTTTCTTTAAATTAACTCGTAAACCGCCTTTAAGTGATCAATAGATTTGACCACCATAGTCAAGTTGATGCCATCTGACATACCCTCAACATGTTCATCTTACTTATCTGACTTCGTAAGAAAATAATCATTTTAGTGGTCAGTTTCTAAAGCCATTAAATTTCTTCAAATGTAAATTATTATTTTACTTTCTCGCCTCTTCCCTAAACTTCACCCACAAAGTGCAGGTTCTTCTGTATTTTGAACTGGATTATGTATGATGTAATCTATTTCTAGAATCCTGTCTCCGCCTTTTATTATATTCGTTTTTATAAACATTCCCAGTTAAACTGTATGCAAAAACTGTCTAGATAATATTTTTAATTCTTACAAAAGAACTGTCTTCTTAGTATTATACATCTACGTCGACCACGGCCATAAAAAAGACGTCGCTTATATAAAATTTGGGTACTTAACTTTTTCATAGAATTAATATAACGAGGGAAATATCTTGTTAACGTACTAGATGAATAAGCTTTTCTATCCATTTGTATGCAATTATTTATTCATTGTAATAACCAACATATCAGTCTTCATATTTTCATGTGGATTGATGAAGTAATGAGGAATAGATTGATTTTATTTGGTTAATCAGATAATTTATAACTAAAGGATCTTGTGGGTCTAAACTGTTTGACATTTATACTTTTTTCGAATCGATTATTGCTTCATAGGGTTCAAATGTTATTACTTATGAAACACAGTAATCCAAAGTTAATAAAAAAACTGAAGAGGTGTTTCTATTATAAATGAGTTTTGATTTTCCCTACCATTTACTTGTTTATTGACTCGAGGTACCTCAATATAAAGTGATAAGTAATATAAATGATTCAAATACAATCATACTGAAGTCAATGATCAAGCATCAGAAGTTCTACTGTTACTCGTGCTTTGAAATTATTGAAACCGGTTTGTTAAAGTAAACACGTAAAGTTTGTACTCCCTTATGAAAATCTTTTAAAAACCACAGAAAATGGAAACAATCATTATGATATTTTAAACTTACTTTCTTAGTTGAATTATTTTCTGTTAACAAGTAATCCACGGAACATTGTTCCGTCTTTAGTTTACCAGTATTAGCAAGATAAATACTATAAAGTGCTGTCGTAGAAGGCAGAATACTCAGTTGAAGATTAAAGAATTGTAACTTTTCAGCTTGATTCACGACTGAGGTATCCTTTAATGTCAAGACATTATTCGCAACCTATTCGTTAAAAAGAAGGTTGGCATGGTTTGTACTGACAACTTACCAAATTAGGACCTGCAAATGCTATGAGTTGGCTCTCACAAAAATTCACTGTAGAATTCTTACCTAATGGTGAGATTTTTGCTTCAAACTTAACGGATACCAAACTTGGTCTATATATCTGAATAAAAACTGTTAGACGAACTGATCGATTCATCATTGGCAAAGTAGTGTCATAAACACCTAAAATATATTTTAAATTAAATTTGAATATGTACATATGAATATAAAATAAGAATTACTCGTCCCAATAACTCAGAAAAGAAATATCCAAAGTAATATGAAAACAAGACCATTTTGTGAAAGAATGCCTGTCGACGAGACTTATCAGAGTGAACCTCAAAAGTTCGGTAATGAAATATAATGAATAATAATAGTTTAGTTTTTTTGTTTTTTTTAACACGACAGTGATAACTTTATGAAAACTTCAGCTTGATGAAAGCTAAAAGATAGCCAATTAAGCGTAATTATATGCCTTATATTTTTAAGAGCTCTAGTGGTGAGTAATGGTAGTGACCTTGGGTAAATTAAAGTTTTAATCTTCCAGTCTGACTGAGTTTAACCGCATCAAATTGTTAGGATAGACCATAAGCTACTACTTGCAGTTTTTGGGTCAAAGAAAGGTATACCTGTATACACGGCAAATAGACTGCGACGTTGGGGAACTACACTCTTGGGTTATGACTTCAAGATCAAGTACCAGCCCTTTACTGATTATGGACAAGCTGAAGCTTTATCTAGACTGATTGGCTCACAAGTAAAACTGGAAGAAGACACTTTGGTGGCAGCAATCGAGACGGAAACTGAAGTACATCGAGTATTGGAAGACGCAGTCGATGGTTTACCAGTTACTTTCAGGGCGATCAAAAAAGCCACGGAAAGTGACAAGACTTTAAGAAAAGTTAGTGGTTATCTTCTCCACAAGTGGCCGAACCGTCGTCTTCAAGGAGAAATGCTACAATATTTTCGCCGACGGGACTCTCTCATGATGGTGGACTCATGTATTATGTTTGGTGACAGAATTATTGTTTCAAAAGTATTACGCTGCAAGGTTCTGAGACAATTCCACAGCGGTCATCCTGGTATCAATAAGATGAAAGTGTTGGCTCGAAGCTACGCATACTGGCCTACGATGGATCAAGATATCGAAACCAGATGCCGCAATTGTTCATCGTGCCTACAAGCAGCCAAACGTCCAAGGAAGTGTGAACCGCAACAATGGGAAAAGCCGAATAGTGTCTGGGAGAGGCTGCATGCAGATTTTGCCGGTCCGATACGAGGAAGAATGTATCTAGTCATAGTAGACGCACCCACAAAATAGCCACAAATCTACGCCATGGTGAATTGCACAGCCAGTGAAACAATCAGCAAGTTATCCGAACTGTTTAGCTGCTTTGGAGTTCCGGAGACTTTAGTGACCGATAACGGCTCACAATTCACTGCGGAATCATTCAAGCACTTCTGCAACGTTAATGGGATTGTGCACAAACGATCTCCACCGTATCACCCTCAATCAAATGGCCAGGCAGAGCGTTTTTTGTGAACACATTCAAAAGAGCACTACTGAAAGGTGGGGGCGAAGGGTCGACAGGGCAGGTGATCACAAAATTTTTGACATCATACAGATCCACCCCGAGCCCGAATGTTCCAGACGGCAATCCCCTCGCGGAAACTATGTTCGGAAGGCGTATTCCAACCGTCTTCGATGCCATGTTGCCATCCAAATTAGTGGATGAGCGCAGTCACGATCCAAGTGTCCGGAACTTCAATGTTGGAGACAAAGTTTACATTAAATCCTACATCGGGAAGAACCGATGGGAGCCAGGAGAAGTAGCACAAAAACTGGGAAGAGTTCTGTACAAAGTTCGAGGAGCTTTTGGGGCATGTATACAACACACAAATCAGTCCTTAAGGACAAAAGGACGGTGCAGACTCGAAGTAACCGGCCGAACTTTCCGTTAGATTTAATCTTAGATGCACCAGTGCCAAAAATGCCCGGGAACACTGGAAAGAAGCCTTGGATAAGGAAAAAGACAAGAATAATGGGACGCCGTCGCAACCCAGTTGTCAAACTACAAGTAGATCCCAGAAAGAAATCTTATTTGGGGGAGGTGTTGAGTCGGCTTCCGGAGAACTTCAACAGAGCCTCCAGAGGCCCAAAAGGAGCCGAAGAGTCCTAGCCAATCAGAGTATGATGGAACGTTCTGGAATTCCAACGTGGCGTACTACTGTTGGTCGGTAGCATAATATGTCGTTAACGGATTGGCTGAAATATGATGTTGATTTAACAGACGCCAACATTTATAAATACACATGATTTTCTGTACAAAAATGAACCTCGGAGTAAAGTATTTTCTCTCATACTTGTGTCTTCTCTCTGGTGTTCAAGTCGCTGTGTAGTTCTAGCTTGCGGGTTACCAGAATAGCTTAGGAAAACGAATATAAATAAATAGATAAATACGCTACTATCAAAATCTGCAGTCACCCGTTACAACAATTGGCGACGGGGTAGAGAAAATTTTGAACCCTGTAATTGGACGAGATTCAGCATAAATATTCTGACCAATCAGCACTCAGATTGATCGTCAGTGTTCTTGAAAGTCATTAGTTGTTAATTGATCACAGTATTTCTCATTAGCCTGCTGATTCAGAAAATGACTATCCTTCCCGATCAATTGCAGCTACTACTTGATCGCCAACAGCAGCGTTTCAGAAAGAGCCAGTTGAATGTTTTGGACAATTTACGCACGCGACTGCTAAATCTCCCATTTTTCGGAGATGTGAAAGAAATTGATGAATTAATTTCTCACTTGCATACTGAACTCGAAAATGAATGCAGGACGTATGAATTTGCCAACAAAAGCCTCTATGAATCCCTGACGGGCAGTAATGCAGACGAGGCAGTCGCTCACGATCTGTCCAGCGATTCAGAAATGTCCAATTCAGAAGCATGCCCTGTCGTGGGTTCGAATCCCACTGTGCCCGAAACATGTACAGACAGTGAGGTATCCAACTCACAAGAAAAACCCCTCGTGCCAGAAAATGTGTCCCATGCATCAAATAATGGTCAGAAATCTAATACAAATTTCAAAGATGCTGTTTATTTTAGTGATCTATTATCCACTGATGGAATTTTGAAGAGGTCTGACGAATATGTTTCACAAGAATCAAACCTTAATGACCTCATACCTAGTGTCGCTGATCTTCATCATCTAGTCAGTTCTAGTGGACCCACTACCCAATGCGGGAAATATGCTTTAAATAGAATCAGACTCACTGTTACTTGGGCATGTGAGGACCCAACGTTATTTCGCGGGGGAGGACGGACGCAGAAAATTTTAAAATCCGGATATCAACTCCGGATCTTTCGAACAAAAAGGGGGGGGGTGTTAGGATAGTCGGAAAAATATACCAATAATTATCGTGTTAAATCTATGGTGTCCTTGGACTTTAAATGGACACCCCCTATTGGTCGATATTTGTTCACTCGTTAAATATTGTACAAATGTTGTTTTCTATTTTTATGGTACGATGTGGTCTGTTTGGTTGGTATATAAACAGAGTATGTTTGAAATATAACGATTCATATCTCAGAGGCTGTGACTTGTGTTCCGGACTCAACTGGCTGGGTTGGATAGCGAAGCAGGGCCGATCGGGACTCTAGGTCGTTCGTCCGTGTTTACGTGTCATTGATCCAATTGATAAAACGCTGCTCCATCTAAACTGCTAATCCACCCGTTACAACACAAATGTGAAGCAATTTCTTTATAAATGACCTTAAAAAACTGAACCGAATTTCCGGCCAGTTCTAAACTATTCAGAAAGCAGCTTTTAAAAATAAGCAGTTTATGAAAAAAACGATGTGACTACAATGTGAACGGATTCTAGGTAATTAATGAATATATTAATGTCTTCTACCCGTTGTTCCGCCTGTGATTTGAAGAAACAAAGAGATATTACTGCAACTGTGTTGTTAGAGGTTATCCGTCTTCGCTAATCTTCAAAATGATCCAAAACCATTTCTCACATTATTTTTCGTTAGGAATAGCATATTTAGGGTAATGGTTAGGGCTTTGGAGTTTTATTCACAAAATGACAAATTAAAACTCCTCTGTTGTCGTACGTGTGAGTGAATTTCAGTCAAAAATACTAGAGTAAATATTTGATCAGTTCATTCATAAGATGTAGTCCCATTAGGTATGTGTTTGTTTTAGGATTAAAGATTTAAAGTCAGGACATATGGATAATGCCGATTTGCCTGTTAATTACAATCAAAGGAGACAGAAGTAGAATTTTGATACACTAAACACTTACAATTTTAATCTATATCTGCAAAAACTGAATTGAATGTTTTGAGCAGTGCACAAAAGTATTTTCACTGCTTGTCACACATAGTATTTGAATTTCGCTCCGAAATCCCATTCTGATTGACTTGTCCCTAAAGTATACTTTTACTGAAACCATCGTCGTAATTACTTTTTGAATTGAGTTTTCCACATTACTCTCTTTCCATTTTCTGATTGACTTCCATCGCTCCTAGTTAGCTAAATTTCTATAGTCTTAACGGTCATCTTTTTGTTCCTATATTACAGAGATAAGTGAAATCATAACCTTGAACGGCGTATACTAGTGCGATTCACGAAAACCTCAACAAAACATACTATGAATATATTAGTTAATTTTTGTTCAGGAAATAAGTTGGACAAGAGATATTTGATTCCAGTAAACAGTTTAACGATAAGTGAAATGCACAAAAATTCTAAAAATAACAACAAAATAAAAAGTATCTTCGTTGGTCTAAACAAGTTAGTAAGCATTTGATAGTGGTTAAATTCGACTATTGATCACAACGCGATCAAACCATACTATTTTTTCCTATTAAACTTCACTATGACAATAGAAGATGGCTGTAAACTAGCGAAATTAGATATCAGGATTCTCGCAGTTTGAATAAATCTATAGTGATTCCATGATAAACAGCGAAGAAGTACTATCGTGTGTATTTAAGCAGAATGATGACAGCACATTTTAGAAATTCTCCTAATAGAAGTTTGGAAGTTTTAATACGAATCTATTACAAAATAAAATAGTGTTAGAAGTAGCAGGATTATTCAGAATTTAAATACAATCACACAAAAGTAAGTCTATCTGAAAATTAAATGTATAACAAACTGCCAGCAGATATTATTTGGTTATTAGCATTCTCCCTTCATTTGTAAACTGATATATAATGTAGGTATGAAGCTTAATTATCAGGTCTCGATTTCATTGAGATAACTGTGAAATCCGTATCATACAGGAGCTTATATTCTTCTTTACATTAGTATTGTCTTCACTTGGAGATTCGTGTCAATAATCTGATCTCGTATTCAGCAAACACAGGGACTAAAATAACAATACGTTTATCTCTCGACTTATTCACAATTCTAAAACCGTGTATTCTTAACGAGATGATTACCAGTAAAATATATCTTAAAGTCAATGATTTTTCGGAATAAGACTTCTGGAAACAAATATTTTTATCCAACTTGAATAACAACGTATTCAGCCCCTACCATCTTCTTCATTCCTCCTAATCACTCCATCTTTATGCATATTCGATTGTTCACAACATCTCTTGTCATTTCAGTTCAGTAATAAATATCTTTGGTACGAAGAAATTTGTCATACCATTACACTACAAGTGTCATATTTGGTAGCTTTTCGAAGTAAAACAGCCAAACACTTTTCAATTTATGACTAGGCAAGACAGAATAAACACTGAGCTTATTCAAATTCATCATCAACAGTTGAAAATGTTTCATTCACAGATTTGTCTATGCACAAACTTTGTCACCAACTATATGTGGTTGTTAAGAATTGATTAGTAACATCACTTTGACGAGGCCATCATACTGACCGGTAAAAAAGTGATTCATCGAAGAAATATTAACAGAGAAATAATTATCAAAAGGTTCAGGTGATCCCCAAATGATTATTAATGGAAAATATATTTTATGCATAACACCAAAATGAAAGTAGCAGAATAAGTGCCCAAAATCATATCATCCACTGCCCTAATGACATTCAATATGAAAATTCGGTACTTGTGTAAATAAGTATCATAAAATGGAAAGGCACTTGTTATTGTTTCGACAAGTGCATACTTAATTTCATAAACATACGCACAGAAAAAGATGTAATACTTGGAAAATACAATATTTATGAGTAACACGTTTCGATCATCGTGGTTAGTTGTGAAACATCAGGAACTTAGTGTTATAAGACACAGCTAGACTGAACAAAACTGTTAATATATGATACAGTTAACAATATACATGGTTTATACTAAAATAGAATATTTAACGTTAGAAATCATTGTACGATGAACTTACCTGAATTTTGTAGATTTGAAACGCTAACGTAGCCAATGGTAGTCAGTGCGAAGTTACCACCAACGAATTGTTGCGTATCTATTTTGTAACCTTCTGGGTATGTAGAGAATGTTGTAGGTAGTGTCAAAGATATATGTCCAATCGAAGCACTAAACTCATCAGTCGTGAATGTGAACTATCAAACAATTTATTAGGAAACAACAGTAAGTATTTTTCTGTACGTGTCTTTAAGAAAATAAATACGTTCAGTTTTGTATTGGGTGAACATACAAAAGTAAAGTGTTTATATACAGGTATATCTACTCAATGTCCTACAACACTATGATGCATATTTAAATGTACTCTATTAATTTTGTCTGAACATGGATGATCTCAGATGTTGTAGAAGTTCTCTCGTTATCATATTGAATAATTACCTGTTTCGTATTGTATTGGTTTGTTAAAAATGAGTTACACTTTATTTGTTCAAGTAATTAGTAGTCTGTGAAACACTGATCTGGTATATTTAACAGAATTCGTGTTATGAAATTGAATACTATTCATCAGGTCAAATACTTAGAAAAATTGTGGTTGATATGGCCATTGATATTAAAGAGAAATAGTGATAGCATTTCAGCTAAAACAACACACTGTCGATACCTAAAATTGTCCCTATAAAAATGAGAATATAATCACCAGGATAATAAGTCTAGCAACTTCATTTCGATGTATTTGGTCGATTATTCAAAAATACATATTTCTTTAAAAATACCAACGTACTTCAAGTTTTTAAATGTTATATAATCTATGATTTTGATTTATGGCGGTACGATGTGAGATGATAAACCTTAATAGAGTTTTATTTCGTTCACCTGTCCTTCTTTTAGACAGATCTTGTTTTTTCAAAAGAGTGGTTGATTATTCTTATATTTCTTCTAATGATTTAAAGGTTTACAAATGTATTCCAATATCATATCAGAATTCAATGTAAAACGAACGACATTCAGTGTATTTGTTGAGTGTGGTAAAGATAGAGGTGATGATTATAACATACTTAAATATTGTTGATCTTGACAAATGATCTTGATTAATTTTATGTAGTGTTTGATTCACGTAATTCATCTCACTTGTTAGGTGAATCAGTATATCTTAAATAGGGTTACTGAATAAGATCAGATTTTCACAGACACTTGACTATCACATTTTTCCTATTTTGTAGCATTATGTAACTATCGGTATTATAGCTGATATTCTCTGAAGTATCTGTCACCAAAACCTGACACCTTTTCTATTTAGTTTGTAATTTTGAAGTGTTCATCAGGATCCGACATGTTTTAATAGCCTCGTCTAGTTTTACTGAATTTATCATCACCATTAGATTACAGATTTTTGTACGAAAACTAACCGATATTAATTATTATTCGAAAGAGCGAACTAAATATATGTATAATCTGTACTGAAGATTGAATCATAAGTGTTATTGATCACCAAATGAAATTTATCGTGTTAGCGAAATCTGAGAGGAGGAAACAAACAGTCTTGGTTACTGATTTTAGTGAACAGATTTTTTACTGGCAGTTAAAACCTGGATTATTCTGATAACGAATAAGTGGTAAATTTAGGTGGGATACTGACTGTCAGCATTGGCCAAACTTGTAAGAGAGAGGTTTTAATATGTAGTTACTTAGATAAAAGCAAGTCTAGGTGGTCGGTAAATAAATTTGTTTCATCCCTTGTCTCCGAACGATGAACATCCTTTTGATCCTCAAAAGATAGTGATATTCGGAGTTTGATAACACTTTAACCAATAACACCTAATATGAATCGTACTCATCAAATGAAACCAAAAGACCAAAGCGAGATGGTTCGAAGATATATTTGATAGGCTATCAATATATCGAGGATCGACTGATCTAATCCGGCTAGCGATTACAAGGGATGTTGAGCACGGCGTTCCCACTCGTGATCTGGTGCGGATGCATGACCGAGCGCCTTCAGATTGGTGAGTCCATTAAAACTAATGTGATCAGCATGCAATGTTGAAGACTTACAGAGCTATTTATTTTGGGGATTTATTTAGCGCTACAATATGCATTAATCTAGCTATTGAAATGTCTTATGACATAAAGATTCATATATTTTCTATTGGTGATGTACAAATTAATTTTTCGTTATGAGGCATGTCATAGCATGCAACAATTAAGTCAGAAGTCTTATTATTTAACAACTTTTTTCATAAGAATGTAAATTAATCAAGTATAATACTTATCACTCACCACATAATCGCCAATGGGTCTGCTTATAAAGTAGTCCACAGAATACTCATAAACCCCACCTACTTCCACTTGCGGTGGACACTTGGTAAAGTTGACTGAATCATATTGAATCGGACAGTTCGAGGAAACACTCATGGGAATATCTACGGTAATCTTTGGAGTCAACAATGCCTCCATTCTGACTGTTAAATTGGTACCTATTGGTGGAATCGACATTTGAGGGAAAAGACCAACTTGGAATCGCATCCTAATACTGAAGTCATTTGAATCATTGGCAGGAGCGGAAGAAACACTTATCTGACTTGTCATTGTGAACTCCGAAGACTACGGAAAACAATTAACAAAAATGGATTAAGGGCTGGAATTCTCAGGAAATTCTCCATTTTCATATCTATAATTTGGCACCGAAGATATGAGTTAATATCAACTTACGAAGATATACTACTGCAATTTCTAACCAATTTAGACCCATTCACAGAACCGATTTTAGGCGATGTTGAGTCATTTGATGTGATATCTTTTATCATATATTTCCTCAAGTTTGTAGATTGACTACAATTATTTGGTATATCAACTCATCTATAACCAAAATCTAATTGATGGAATAAAACAAAGCAAATATAAAAAATCAGAATTTCTATCTATTACTGCTCCTTAAAATCTGAACCTCATAAAGATGTTTCTACATCTTATCTGATCCTTTCTGTTTTAGTTCTTGTATTTTCTCCTCCTTCGTCTCACTAGAACTTTTACTCAGTGATGACTATAGTCTTATATTACAGTGTTTTCTTTCTCTTAATCTTGTAGATTATTCTGTTCTATTTACACTCACTTTTCAAACTCATACTCATAATGGAACTTTGTATTCAGGTTTTCGATAGGTTGTTAAGATATGGAGATTATTGGATGAGACGTAAATCAGGAAGGTTTTTTAAGCGAAACTGAGTTAAATTTTATACAAATTAAATATCCATTGTTATGAATCTTCATAATCTCACAGTGAGTATTTAAAAGTTGGTTTTAACTATTTAAAAACTTTTATTCTTTCGAGTACATAATCAGCATCAGGTGGTATTTTGAATACTTTTATATGAAACAGAACTTTGATATTTACTCTCAATCTTCAGTGAAATGTGGAATATGTCCTTGCACATATCGGTGTACTTTCCATAGTAACTTTTAACTAGTAGAATATTTTTAATTACAATGTAAGATATATTGAAGGCCAGGAGAAAGAGATTAGACGATATATCAGCTTCATGAGAGACTGTTAACTAAGGGTTATACCTATACACAAAGTGAATTCAGAAAGTCTGATTGTGTTTACATAATGTAGTTCGAATTATCTAGGAACTTTTCATTTTTACACACATTTATTGTCTCTTAGACGAAGTGTATTTTACTGTTTGTAAACATAAATCAAACTTGTTTGTTTACTATGTTTCCATGAGAAACGTTTATGTACATAACCATGTGCTTGAAAAACCTACTAGATATGCTTCATTATTTTCTGAAGTGCAGTATCAGTGGATATCCACGACCTAGAAACTTCCAGAAATTTTTTAACACACCACGACAATCAACCTATAGTGACAGGAATCAACAGGTGCCATATGTACATTTACCTGTACATTCCTTGTTACACATACATTTACAATCTCTAACAAAAAATGCTGTAAACAGTAAAATTAATCAAACTAAATTCATATCCTTACCGAGGAATTGTTGTCCAAGTATGTGAGATTACTAAACTTCACAGGATAATTATTTGCTATATTTGAACCGTTGTAGTAAGCAAACAAATATTGTATATATCCGTAATAGACATTATTTAGAGACGGACCAGAAAACTTCATGATCAAACTATTATTTCCAGGTGGAAGGACAATTACCGAATCAATAAACCATGTATCGAATAGACAATAATTTGGATTATCTTGGATGTATACTCTGGAAAATGTGACATCGATAGTATTCGGTGGAAGTATGACGCCCTATAAAGAAGAAAAAATGACATTACTCATCTGAAAACCTCAAATCAATTATTTTGGATAGTACATATCGTGGTTCTATATCTTACTGTGCACATTTGCTGAATCGTATCACAATGTCCTGATGATAACACTATTTTATTTCATTAACATCGGAATCATTGAATCGAATTCATTAATGAATGAAGGTTGTTATCTGAAACACCACATTGTTTTTTATGATAAGCGACTGTGAAATGCACACGAATTCAAAGACCATTATACCTACTTACAACTCTTACTAATACCATTATTTTAAATAGTTTTCATTTTTGACAAAAATGATTATTCGTAGCGTTTTATGAGAGTTTGACGTTCATCTGATTTGGAGGTTGTCTCCAGTGGTAGCATACCACTAATCGTGTTGATATTCTGCTGCTGTTGTTGTTGTTTGAACATCAAGGCTCAGAACTATGAGATAAAATTTGAAGAACCATTGATCATATTATTATGCTTGTTTCAAAATAACAGGTTACTACAGTGTCAATTGAAACAAGCCATGAATCTCTTTCAGTGACAGCATACCAATTGTGAAATCAATGACAAAAACTGCAGTTTAATTTTCAAAAAATACTACAATAAACAGAGATCATACCCTCTTCATTGCAGTGATTTCACTTCCTTTTTCCTTTTCAGAATAATTTTCATCAATTAAAATGTTGACCGTTGCATCATCAGATATATTTATTGTAGTATTTGCATTCCTAACTGTCACTTGAAAAGTGATGGTGTGATTATTCTTCATTGTTTCATAATCACTTTCAATTACCTTCAAAATACCAGTTGTTCCATCGATAGCTACTGGTAAGTAGTTTGAATCAGGTACAATGTTAAATTGAACACTTCCACACGATGCTAAGGAGGAGTTTTCATCACTCAGAGAAAGACTACCAATCAGACTTCCATTGATCCAGTTAGAAAACTTGGTTTCGAAGGTGAATACTGTCTGATTGAATTTTGGAATTCTATGTACTAAAATGGTAAGCATATAATCTCTACAAAGTTAATATTTCACAATACATATGTAAATGAGAAATGAGTTATGAATCATGGAATGGACAATATTTCTTCAACTGTAACCAATGCACAATACAAATGATTGAGCGTTTTTACAAATAGATGAATCAATTCATGAAGAAATTTTGTTTAAGTTAACCAATTGACGATTTTCCAAGATTTCTTATAACAAGATGCGAAGTGAATTCGACTACAAGCTTATCAAGAAATGTGAATTATTATCCATTCAGTGTAATGTTTATTTCCTATACAAGTAATTTAGTTAATGAAGAACCCAGATGTGGAAGACCAATTTATTGTTCAATGCAAAATTATAGAGTTACATTGAGTACTTCATTTGCAAATCCTACATCACTTATCCTTACATCATTCATGATTCTTCCGTCCCTCAATCCCTTGGTGCTTCCCCATTCTGTTTTATTCAGTGCTATTTTCTCAAGCTTTTTTTGACAGACATCTCCACTTCTGACTGGCTTACATACTACTTATGTAGACAGGGATCAGTAGAATACACCACAGTAAATCTTGTGGGCTTGATATAAGAGTCTTTAGCATCATCTTGATAATGAAATGATAGAATGTAACCAAATATTTATAAAACCGAACAGAAAATTGTCTCGTTATTAGTAATATTGACTAGTTAAACCATAAATGACTGACTTACCTCGCTCTTCACAGGTTTTCCCAATCCAACATGCATTACATACACACGTTCCATTAATGCAGTGACCATTAACACAGTTCCTAGTCAAAAAGATTGTGTATTGCGATCTTATACACACCAGTAATTTAGAATATATAAACAAGTGAATTTTGTTATGTATGTTTCAATAACTTTAGTTTTAGTGTGTGGAACTGACTTGCAGAAAACCATTAATTTGCTATTAAAAATGAGTTATTTGAGTCTGGAGATGAGATACCAAGGTGTATACTTAGTGCAACAAACTTTTATCGTCACATTAGCTAAATATATCGGAATTTGTACTATTTGGATATGACCTGGCCATCCTAAAATCGTAATTTAATGAATATCTCTGCACAGTTTAGTACTTCTACAAGTTTATCCATCTTGCAAAGTTGGTAAATCGAAACTAAGAGTAAAGAGCTTTGAATATGATTTCAATACGAAATCAATGACTGTATTTACTACACAATTAACAGCAGATGATTAAGATCTATGGTTTGTTCATTCAGTTCAATCATAAACGAAACCGAAAATAATGCCAATAAATATTCTGAAATTCTTGAGAAGTGTGCTCAGCTTACTTTCAACTACCATTCTTATACGCAATTGATGTGATATTCCAAACAAACAGAAGCGTCAGCAAACATGCTTATATCAAGATAACGCATTAGCATTAATGGCTGACTAAAGATCAACTTAGTTCCACCATTATTTTAGACAGTCTAAATATTTTAAATTGCTTTTTGTATATTACTGAACAGTTTTCGCACTTACCAAAAATATTGAAAGTAATAAAATCAACAGTCAGTGAAACTATGGATAGACTATTTCGAGAAACTTTATCTTCAGCACTGTCTTTCATTGAACGTTATGTAGAAAGCTATATCATTCAACTGAAATGTCCCCAGGCCAATACTCTTAATTAGTTTAGAACCGTCATTTAAACTAATTAAGTCGAGATGTGTTTAGTAGTTATGATTACTTTCATCATTTCTATGGGCTTTCTATGTGTTAGCTTCTAGAAATGATCCTTTCCACATTTGATTTGTTATCAATTAGTTGCCTGTCTTTAGGCTCAGTTACTGATTTAAATAGACTGAGAATATGTTTGTGGTTAGTTTGCACAGTAATAGTTTGCAATTTAGTTCGCGTATATCGAATGGTAGAACAAACGTGTTTGGGATGTAGTATTGATACAGAAAATTGAAATATTGCTCTACTACTTAATTGTAGCATAGTTTAATTTGATTGTGATTATGGTTGACCGCTTCCTCTATCATTTGAGTCATATTAGTTCAATTGGATTAGTGATTGTGAATTCTAGACATAAATAGTTAATAAACGATGTCTATACTGTATACCGCAAGTGAAATAAATGTCTTGTCACTGCTCAGTAGAAATAATTATACCACATTTTGTGTTACTTATGCATCTATATCACACAGAAATTTGTTAGGTGGTTGAAGATAGTCGGTAGGAAACGCTGGTTGTGTTGTTATTCGGGGCTTGTTAGCAGCTAAGTAAACCATAGATTTAGGTCACCACTAAGAACTAAACATACATGATATTAACGATTATTCGGTAAACAATCGGTGTAAACAGATGAATACAAATGAACAATATTAACAACAAAGTAATGATACATAACTGATGTTGACTGAATACATTTTGTCACTTAACTTCTGATTCCTGTTTATTAACAAACCTCTAATCAACCAAAGACACTTAAAGAGAATCATATTAATATTCTTTCAACAGACTTACGATGAATTATTTTCACACAATTTTGTGGATTGTTCAAATGATCCATGAACTACTGAATGCAATATATTAGTTTATACATAAACAATCATTCATCAACTTACAAACAGTATGAATCAGTATAATGATCAAATCTGTTGGAATTCTTTGATAGACGATCATTATGTATGAATGTGAAAATGTAAGTAAAACGAAGGTGATGATGATGAAACTTTTGGGTCCAACTTTGTTTAAAATATTTTCGGATGATTTAACTAATTTCAGTCAGTAGCTAAATTAATTTCAAGTAAACCTGAATTCATTTAAATAGTTGCAAAATATGTAGTCGTTTCAGCCAATCAGAATGCAGTCACTGGATTTTGGGTAGTTACACCTATTTATTCTAACTCCTAGTAACAAAAGAAACCTGTTGACCATTCTCATATTTGTCATATGAATAGATTTTTCAACAACAAAATACTTGAACTCTCCAATAGCAACAATTATTCCTACATACTCTTATACTGACCGAAAACATAATGATGATAACAAGTGTTAAGTCTTTCGGGTGATAGTGGGTTGAAAGTATGAAGTGAACCTGAAAATGAACTGTGATACACTGTACTACTTGCAAAGTTGTCCTTAAGGTAAATGAAAAAGCCTAACACTTTGGTAACCAGGTGAGTGAAAATAACAATGTTTTAGGTTGACTTGATAAGTGAACAATACAAAGTGGTGTTCTGTGGGAGGTCGTTTATATCTTGTTTTAATTAACCCAAAGTGGCTCTTTACTGAAACAATTCATATCTGTCATATTGTAATAAAGCATTGTTATAATTTAGCCTGCAGATAATTTAAGGACAACAAATTGAATGAATATAAGCCACCGGTATTTAAGCTTTTCTATTGTCGATCTGGTATGCTTCAGTGAATAAGGGTTATTTCACTATTATTTTCATTATGTTTATTACGTTACGGAGACAGTAATTAAAGTGAATTAACTCTCCGTGTCGCATCTTGGAATTGTTTGTAATAAATAACTACAATAAGGAACAAGAATTAAGGTGACGTACCAACATGTTACACGCACCCTTTATAATAGTGTGGTTAAAACTGTTGTTTACTTTTATTAATTCAACTGAAAAAATGTATTTATTTATCGGATTAATTACAGTCAATTAGTTCCCACTGTTTTATTCCGAGTTGGAATTTCTCAGATGCACCAATGTAGTTCAACTAAGTGAAGTGTATTCCAGTTAATGATGTTGATTCGACATGTCTCATTGAAAATATCAGGTAATGAGATAACAGTTTGCATTCTTACTTAGTATGAGTTACTGAATATATCATGTTTTTATTTTTGTATCAGTCCGAAAATTTCGTTTCATCATTCATTCTTTCCTCTTCACATTAAAATTAGTCTCATATCTAAATAGAAATATGTGGAATGTTCCATTTTATCCCAGTTCTTGATTACTGTTGTTTAAAAATTAAATATCAGATAATTTTTTTACTAAAGTTA